GTAATGTCCGCCGCCCCTCCGCCCCACGGATTGAGGTACTGAATATATATTTATATTTAAATTAAGGTTGTGGAACGCAGGTCTAAAGGCCCAGAAACTTCTACGCAGCCAGCAACAAGCAGCACGACAAACGAAGTATGGTCACATCATCTCCATAGCCGACGAAGGGCTGTACATTTTTTAAAATTTATATTTGTTTTTTTCTCCAGAATTATAACTCTAGATTGTGCTTTCGGCATCATGTTGGTTATCTCAACGTGCAGTAGCGAAGCTTCCTGCTAGCGGAACGGGTCCCCGAAAACAAGACATCAATAGACCTACGTTTGAGATCCCCTTAAGTGACCTCAAGTCCACACAGTGAAGAAAAACACTTAGAGCCCACCCGCTTTGCTATATGAGAGCGATATCCGTCGCATGACAGGTCAAACCGATATCTAATTCTCAGAGCTTGAATTTAGCCATATTAAGCGCAGATGCCCGGCTACTTTAACGTGATGGGTTTTTTTTTGTAAGCTGTACATTATTGTTCTAGATTTGAAGCTTTCGTGACTGCAAGGATTCTTACTCTTTGGTTTTTTCGGTAAAGTCACGTAGGTAAAAAATCAATAAAATAAAATAAATGAAAACAACTAAATTAAATCACGACGTTTCGGAGGCAACACAAGCTTCCTTCATCAGGTGTAAAAAGGTACAGCAAAATAACTGTAGCGAGAGAAAATGTATAATAACTATCGCTACAGTTATTTTGCTGTGCCTTTTTTTACACCTGATGAAGGAAGCTTGTGTTGCCTCCGAAACGTCGTGATTTAATTTAGTCGTTTCCATTTATTTTATTCTATTAATTGTTTTACCTACCTACGTGACTTTACCGAAAAAAACCCAAAGAGTATGTACATTATTGTATCAACTCTTCCTATAACAGTGAGCAATGTCAGACGTTACATCTCTCAATGAATGGAGGTGGCAGTTTGGCCAGATTTATTCAGCGCGGGTTGTGATACACAACCCACCGCCACAGTAAACAACTGAAACACAATCTCTCTAGAGTTGAACAGGAGCAAGTAACCTCCTTTATCCAGTGTTGCATAGGGCTGCTTTTGCCCTTCATCAATGCAGAGCGAAATGATCTACAGCCCTGTATCAATCCACTGCCGGATGAAAGCCCTCCCCCTCCGTGTTTTTTGTTTTAGTTTTGCCAATCTGCAGCACGCTGCCTGCCCAGTCCGCGTTGTTCAAGGGGCGACTGTCCAGATAAAACTCGCCACTGATGTTATAGCCTTGGCCAGGGGAATGTGCTAACCGCAGCGACACCACCGCTTTGCTCCACCTCTTTTGTGTTCATTGTATTCAATAACCAAGTCGTGCACTGTATTGTATTGTATAGCCACATTTGGCACTGTTGATTTTGTTTTCATCTCAACTGGTTATGTCCTCTATCTCTTGTCTCCCATATTTTTCGACATTCTATTGAGATGCGTTTGCATTTCATCATCATCAACTTACTCAGGTGTGCGACTCGTAGCCATAGCGAGCGCTATACTGGATGTGGTGTGCCGTGTGAGACCTGGATAGGACACGGCTGCAATTACTCCCTGGCTCTGACCGACTCTCAACGTCACCTTAGGAATACTATATAATATTCGTAATTACCTCTTAGTATCTCTCGCGATTGCCAAATCTCATCGTCAGAATCATTTTCCATTGTCTATCCACTGCTGGCTGAATGCCCCCATTAACATTTTCCGTTTCTCACAGTTCTGCGATATAATAATTCCTCTAGCACCGACGCGCTCTCGCGGATTTCACCGCTCCATCTCCTCCGGCGGACGTCCTCTAAGACTCATTTCGCTGCTCGGTTGGCATTGTTACTTACGCACATTATAAAGTTTCATCTCGACAGTGTCTCTCGTTTCACGTGCCTGCTGTTGGAAGGGCTTCCATTTGGAAGGAGCTCTAGAGATCTCACACAGAGGGTGTTTTTGGCCTACTCTTCCACGCTGAACCACATGTCTTGGAAGCGGTGATAGTACCCACACTTTACCCCACCAAACGCGACCATAATAATAATAATTTACATTTGTAAATGCGCATTTCATCCGTAGATCCAACCAATGCAATGAGCGCTGTGTATGGAATGCAGGAAATAAACAGAACCTGCATGGTAAACGGCCAGAGCTGGGGGCTAAAGGCCAGTTTAGGACGGCATTTAAATATCTCAAACTATTCTGATCAGCCCCTGCAGGAACAGAGCCTTGACCTCGGGAGTACTGAGTAGAAAGCGATCCCAAGATCTCACGGATCCCGTTGGTGGAGTAAACACGGATCGATTCCTGTAAAGATCGCATGGCTAACCCATCGCCTGTTTGGTGTACCCACTTCTGATGTCGCTGGAATGGCCAGAAATAGTTTAAAATGCCACCTCGGGATGTTGGAACCGGCGACCTCTGGATATATGCAAAGTGAAACGTTGCCATAACCATTGCAACCGTACGACAGCAACCACACAGAGCAACTTAATCATTAACAACCGCAGCGCACAATAATCTCAGCTTATACACGAGGCGTGTGTGGTGCGTCTGGGTGTCTGTCTGTCTTTGTTAAAGCTTAGAGACTGTACGTTTGTTTCTCCCTCCCTCCCTCTCTCTCCGATTCTTTAATTAGCGTAAACGCATGCCTCTGTGATATTTAATGAGCTCATCGCTGATTTGGGAACTGCTAAAAAAAACCCACCCACCGACTCAAATCCCAGAGTGCCAACCCGCCTGTTTTAATAACAAGGGGTTGCGTTATGGGGCCGGTGAGGACATCAAGAGTCATACCAATCTGAGGATGACTGCATGCATTCCTAGAAGTAAAAAAAAACATAAAACGTGTGTGCATTTGAAGTTGTTATAACTACATCACCACCACCACCCGAGTCTGTTGAAACGCTACGTGCATGGCACTGCATCTTGTTTTGTGACAATTCAGGTTGCGGTGGTGATGAAGCAATCAACAACTCAACACGTGCATCAATAACACTGCCTTAAAAAAGGCGAAAATATAGATAACAGACGACATTTCGGGCAATGGCTCCATCTTCACAGCGCATAAAATGATGATGATGATGAAATATCACCAAATACATTATTCACAGCAAATGTGATTACTTATCAGTACGCGTGCTATATTCTTGGTTCTTTCGGTAAAGTCACGTAGAAGGGAAATAATAAAATAATAAAATTATAAAACAAACTCAAAATCTCACGACGTTTCGACTGCAACATAAGCAAGCATCATCGGGTGGCGATTACTTTCATCCAGCAGTGGATAATCATAGCTGCTTATGTGATGATGCTTCTAGTAATGTGTACAGGGTGGTCCAGATGTCCTGTGACCCCCCCCCCCCCATTTAATTATTTAAAACTTTTTTTATTTCTACATAATTAAGGTTTATGTAAAACAGAAATTAATGTGGAAAGGAAAAAAATTGGGGGGGGGGGGGTCACACAGTACAGTAAATATGTCCATAAAATAAACAATTGGTGCTTCAGTTAAATTGCACAAAAGGTAAAATATGTACTACCAAGAGGTAATAACGATATCGAATACACTGGACGAGTTATGTGGGCCAAGGTGGGGTCGTATGGTGGTGGGTGCTGTCAGATCGAGTAGAGATGAACTCAACTGAGGTGCAATGACTCATCAACATTTGATGACTTTTGAATGCCTTCCAAGATTTTGGATAGCCTCACCAAAGTACAATGAGTTAATTTTCCCCTCCCAAATTACATGGATATAACAAAGACAAAGATCTCCCCCCACAGCCTGTTGGGGCATGTTCTGTTATATATAGTAGACACACACACAGACACTGTGATGCTACAGTGGTGTAAATGGTCGTTTTTCTGCAATCTACTTGTCCGGGTCAACTAAAATTGGCAAGTTTCTTCAAATTCCTGCGTCTGTCCACTCGGCAGTATGAATGGGCACACCACCACCACCACAGTGAGTCCATCGGTGGGCAGGGCGTCTATGGTGGGGTAAAGTGTGGGAACTTCCACCTCTACCAACATTTGGAAGAGTCGCCCTTCTGCCAGCATGGCATGATCAAGCAATTGCAGAGTCTGCACCTGGACCTTTTGAAGATGCACGTGTGTGCAATAGATGACATTTGAAAATAACCTTGAGGAAGGTATTTCCACGTTCAAAAGGCAGACCTGGCGCCAGACACAACAACGTGTGTGTGTGTACATCATCCACAATGTACATCATACACAATGTACACAACAGGAAATACGCAAGCATAACAGTTACTGTACATTGCACGCGTGCAAACGGTGAAACCAATTAATGGACTTGTGTAATCATGTGATGGCCCTCTATTTAACCCACCCCTCCTCTCTCCCCGACCGTGTATCTCGAATGACAAGACGTGGATGGCAATGCACATGCTGTAGTTGCATAACAACAACAACACCACCATAAGGCATTGTGGAGTGTTCATTGGCAAAGTTGGTGCATGGTAGAGTCAACATGCGCGTGTCGCGTGCATTGACAAAAAAAAAACCGATTAGTGTCGGTGCATGCTTGCGCGACCACCTCCCGCTCAGCCCAGCAACATCCCAACTCGCGGTCACGTGGGGCACGAGCTCGTCGCCCATTGGCCGCACGTCTCACCCACCCCGCTCGCGCGCTCCCCCTCCCCCACAACTCCCGCGTTCGCGTCGCGGTAATCCGCAAAGAGCGGACCGGAGTCGCTGGTGCGGATCGCAAAGCGACGCCTTTTCACGCGGGCGATCATTTTTAACGAACGAAACCCGCGCCATTCGCAGGAGACGTAACGACGCGGCGGCGGTGAGCGCGGCGGATTGAAACGACGGCGAGAAACTAGCGACTTCGGCGTCGCCTCGCCCGGCACCGCCGTTCTAGCGCGATCCGTTCCGCCGGGTGCCGCTAGCCGGGTTTTGCTTCCCACCCCTCCCTCCGCCCCTCCGCCTCGGGTATATAAAGGGGAGAGGCGCGGAGCCACTAAGTCGGGACGCGGTTGTTTTCATTGTGGAGTAGCGTGGTGCACGGCGGCTGCTGTGGTGGTGGTGGTGTTGGTTGTGGTTTGTAAGCGGCCTTTTGTGTCTCTGCGGAGGGATCTCATCGACGAAGGCGATAAGCGGGGCAACCCCCCCCCCCCTACCCACCACCCCCAAGAGTTGTAGGACGCGGCCGGTGAAACCGCGAGCAAAAACGACCGCGCGAAGCGCTCCAACGTCCGCGGATTTGGAAGGCTACGGCGCATTCAAGAGGTGAGTCTTCTTTCTCTTGTTGTGTGTGTTTGTCTTGGGGGGGGGCCCCATTGCTTTTACTGGGCCACCTAACTGTGTCCCCATGGGTGCTTGTGGTGGGAGAAGTGGGTGGGTGAGGAGGAGGAGGATGATGATGATGATGGGATGGCACTTTACAAGCGAACAATGGTGCCTTGCGGGGTTGACTGTTGTTGAGGTTGGAGTTGTCTTGCTGCGGGCACGAATGGTGGTGGTTTGGTGGTGGTGGTTCTGTTGCTCCTGGGATGATGCAGCCAGTTGCTGTGTGTGTCGAGTGGCCGAGTTAACAGTTTGCTATAATACAGATCCTAACGCAAAAAAAACGTGTGTGGATATTGGTCGCGAAAGCCCCCTACGCGTTTTAACTCGGCAGTCTGCGTTTGGTTGACCCACCAATCTCTTACCCCACCACCACCAAAGAATCGGAGCGGATGGGTGCTTGCTTGTGGATGATGTTTGTGGTGGTTTAGGGGTCGAGCGAGTTGCAACGCCACCATGTAGCGACAGGGCGATTTTGTCCAGCAGCTGATGGCAAATTAAACGTTTTTTTGTCCTCCTAGATCCGTAACCGTTGTGGGGGTTGATAGCTACAATAATCTACAACGTGCAATTTTGCAAATAAATCACAATTGACCACGGAGGGGTGGAGGAGGTGGTCTGCTATTATCTGTGAGCTGTACCGATCCGTGTGTCCGTACGCAAGCCGCCGTGCCGTGGGACTGCTGCTGTCGATTTGGCGACCGCCGTTCCACGCTCGCGTTCGTGAAACACGTGGACGATGAGTGGGGGGGGGGGGAGGCCAGGGCTGGATTTACGCCGTGAGATGATTGCAAAACCTCGCGTGAAACATTTAGAGACTTGGGTGGACCGGGGCAAGCAGCGTTCTTGCATAAAATACTCGGACGCGTTTTTTAATTAAAAAAAAAAAAACTACTGCCGCGGTTGTAGATATCGGAAATTGGTGACCGGAATGCGGCATCGGATTGAGAGTGGGTCTAAAGGGGAGGATGATGGAGCGATGAGTTCGCTGCGTGTTGCAAGGTGGAATGATTCGGCGGCATTGTTAGGATGGTGGTGGTGGCTTTGGGATGGGGGTGGGGGATGGCGGGAGATCTTCATCCAGCGGTGGATCAATCGTTTGCTGATGATGATAAACCTCGTGCTGATTAGTCGAAACGCTGGACTACACTATCAGCAGTCGAGGAATTGGTTGGTGTGGTTATGCAGATGTCTCTTGGTTGCATTGTAGCCTGATGTGCCAAACGTCTAGAGAGTACACGAGTATTAGCAATAATCACAGCGGGCTTTTGTTGGTTTGAGACAACACTTCATCATCATCCTCGGCATCTGCTAACTAAACCCTCTCTCCCCTCTTCTCCTTTTCTCTTCCCGACCTCGAATCCTCGCCGCCTCTCATCAGCGACATGGCCGAGCCGATGATAATGTCCGCCAGCAGCCACCAGATGCTGCCGGGATCTTCGGCTGGCCCGGTCTACCCCTACCGCCAGTACGCGCCGGGCATGCAGTACCAGCAGAGCGGCCACCCGGGAGCCATGGGCCGGGTGGGCAAGCCCCACCAGCTGGGAGTTCGACCCGGCCACACCATGGTGGGCGGAGGTGGTGGTGGTGCCGGAAACGTGGCCATGGCTGCGGCTCACGGTGGCATGCACCCGGGACACTTTCTAAGCGCGCACCACCAGCAGCAGCAACAGCAGCAGCTACAACAACAGCAGCAGCAACAGCAGCAGCAACATCACCAGCAAGCGCCACCATCTGCCGCACAGCATGCATTGCAGCAGCACCATCAGCAGCAGCAGCAACAGCAGCAGCAGCAGGCCGCGATGCATACCCACAAACTGCACCACTTGCCGAGCGGCGGTCACCACCTCTCGCACGCCGCGCAGCATTACGCTGCGTCGGGTCACATGCTGGTGGGAGCTCACGGCTACTACGGGCACAGCGTGGCCATGCACGGCGGTGGCGGCGTGGGCGGCGTGGGGGGCGTCATGATGGGCCACATGGGAGCCTCTTTCCCGGGAGTGGTGGCGGCCGCGGCGGCGGCGGCAGCGCACGCAGCGACGATGCCAAATGCGGATGCCTTGGACGAGGAGCTTCTGATGTCGCTCGTGTTGGAGCTGGGTCTGGACCGTGTGCAAGAGTTGCCGGAGTTGTGGTTGGGTCAAGATGAGGTTGACTTTCTGTCCGGAGTGTATGCCCACTGATGAAGAGTTATTTTTTTTTCTTCTGTGCGGGGCTTTTTTTTATTTCGACTTTTGGCGCCGTTGCCAGGACTTGATCTTCGTCATCTGTCTGCATCCACAACCCACCGATTTCTCCCCCCCCCCCCCCCAGTTCATTATACATAGCCCCCCTCCCCTTCCATCCACCTATACATACAAATATATTATACTTCAAGGACTTTGTGCAAAAAAGTAAATAATTAAAAAGTAATAAAAGTAAACCAATTCATTTGTGTGTTTTTTCGCAAGACTTGTAAATTGAAACGCGTCCAGTGCGATTTTATTTTTGGAGTTTTGAGGCCGCGTCTTGGCACCCCCCTTGAGAGTGACGTCCTCCTTGTGCTCGCATCAACAACAACAATATTGCCTGTGGGATGGTGGTGGGGGGTATGGGGGGGCATCCTGTTGCAAGTTGAATAACTGTTAATTGACGGCAAAAAACGAATCCTTTTCTGACGTTCGCCCTCTATTTTTGAGGGTGTGAGAACTTGCAAAACATGTACGCGTGTGCTGATTAATTCACACACCCCCCCCTTCCCTCCCGACTGAAGATTTTTGTAGCTTTTGTTCAGAGGTCTTTTTGACCTTTCATCAGGAGCAAGTGAGAAGCCCCATATTTATTGGCGACAGCGCCCACACCCCATCCCCATGCGTAAGCCACGCACGAATTTTTATGATTCCAAGCGGTTTTAATTCGTTAACGACAACAACAACAACTCCATCGCATGTGGTGTTTTTTTCCTTTCAAGAAAACGCAAACTTCGACAGCATTGATCTTTTGCTTTTCAAACGTTTAGACGAAAATGTGTAAAGGAGATGCACGTTTTTTATTTAATCCGTTCATTTTTTTCAAGGTTGTGTACATTTTTTTTTGGTTCGATGTATTGCATTTGATTTTGAGTGGAAGCCTTTGTTGAAACGTGTTTTTTTTTTTTTAAAGAAATGGCCTCCCAATTGTATTTTGAAGATGTTAAATTAAATCTGCCGCGTCGGCTGACCTGAAATGCGTACATTACAAAGGTTGGACATTTTTTTTCTGTGCTTCAATTTTGCAAGACCACTTAAAACACTTGTACATTTTGCCTGCTGCGCGCCCTGCACAATGTACAACGAATATTCGTCGTTTTGTAAAGTAATAACTTTTAAATTATGAGCCACTGTACGTTACGTTTTCTCTTAAACATTAAAGAAAACTGTTTTTTTTAAGGCCATGTGTGCGGTCTGTTGCTGCCCCCTGTTGGCGTGGTTTGGTATGTGTGGGAACCTTTGAAGGCTGTTCACTTGGTCACCTGTTGTGATTTCACCGTGGCTGGTTATTGGTTAGCACCCTGGAATTGTAATCCAGAATTATCCGGTTCAACTTACCCGGCGAACTGGTTCAAATAAATGGGAGTTATTTTTAAATCTGTTTTATACAGTACTGACAGGAGCGACGATGGAAATGGGTACAATACTTGGCAGGTCGTTTTGGTTTAGTGTGGCTACGTCCAAGACCACTTGGCCAACGTGGAATCTAAGCAGCTCTCTTGAGAGGCCCGTGACTGGAGACCCCCTCTTCCCCCACCTCACCCCAAACCAGTGGGGTGAGAAAATATTCGGCTTGAGCATTTTTCTGTCGCTGTGGTCCCGCTTTATGTAATGCACTTTACTCGACTTGTTAATCGTAGATTTTCTCTCGTAGGGGTTTACACTACTCGAGTGGTGGTGTGCACATGTGAACCCAGTAGGGGGGGAGGGGAGAAGTTGGATCACGTAAATATTTGTTAAATTCCAAAACTGGGCAGCGAGCTGGAAGTACAGTAGTGGTATTGTTGAATCCATCTGTGCCGTGCTTTTCTGTGCCATCGCCTTGTATGCGTGGCTGGGGTTTCTGGATAATCTGGCCTCGTCCAATGATGAAGAATTACTCGTTGGCAACATTTATTGGTCTCAATTTGGGACTCGCCCGAGAACGTCTTGAAGCCGAAACTTTCTTGGGGTAAATACAAAACATCATTACCTTAATTTTTGTACGTTTGGGACTGCAAAAAAGGTCTTAATCGTAGTTTGGTGGTAGGCTTTTTCATGCTTTTCGACCAAGATTTAATAAAGATGATCTAATCGGAGGCAAACTGATGTAAAGTTGTTGCGAAGGACTTTGCCCAGTTAAAAATGAGCCAAAGTAAACTGAGACAATATGCAAATCGTTTTGCCGCTGATTCATCACTCGAGTTCCACACGTAAATAAACGCACCACGTGAATTAACAGGTCTGTTGAAAAGCGTTTTGTAATGCACGCGTTCGTAAGATAGGTCTGGGTTAGTTTAATGTACCCTTCTGAATGTAAACACATTTGTAAGCGGTGAGATTAGCACATTACCATAGGAATATTGCTCTCCAGATAAAAGATTGACACCAATTCCCCGCAGTTAACAGTTCTGGATTTAATGGGCTACCAATGCAACATCGTGGGGGGTCATGAACCCTCATTCGGGGTGGGGGACAACGCATTTCTACAGGACGGCATTTATCTTTTATTTAAATACGCGGCCAGGATTGAACAATTGATTTTGTGAACTGTGCTTGGAGGTTTACCTGCCTCGACAGTGCCATGTTGCTCATAGGGTTAGGATTAGGCCGTAATTCAGTACGAAAATTAAGAATAGGATTTACCCTTTTTGGAAACAAAACAGCTGTTAGGATGTTCAAACACCAACTAAATACCGTTTTCAAGGAATCAAGTCTGCATTAAAGAAAGCTGTCTTGTGTAGGCCAATCCGTTTAAAAGACAATGCATATATTATGAGAACATGTTTGTTTGCATGTTCACCACAAGTACGTGTGGTTAATGCAGACTTGATTCCTTGCAAAAAGCATTCGTGACTGCAGGGATTCATCTTCTTGGTTCTTTCGGTAAAGTCACGTAGACTGGGAAATAATAAAAATAAAACATAAAATATATTTTTTTAATGTTTAATTTTAGAAAATATTTATTTAATTTCATTATGTTTTATTTTTTTATTTCCCTTCTACGTGACTTTACCGAAAGAACCAATAACCTGTTTTATTGTCGAAAAGAGTACAACCTATTCTTATTTTTCGTGCTTTGATACTGGCACAAAACGGTCCCGTGATAATTCAGTACGCTGGTCATTTTGGGTTGGTGACAGGATAGCTTCAGGATGAGTTCGGATGTAATTCGCCACTGACGTAGACCTTTCCTGCTTGAAACCAACCCTGTAAATGACTCGGAAAAACCCCATCACATCAGAGGAACAGTGCACGCCGGAAACCTATCATTTCCTGGAGTCAAAAACTCAGGTGGCTGGGTTCATAGCTCAGAGAACTACTAAACCACAGCTCCATTCCGGGTAGTACTCGACTATAATGATTACGCAGACACTGTCTAATATTGTTTAATTTTAAAGCATGCGGTCTTTATAAACGTGGGAATAATTACCGCCCAACGCTCAAAGCGCTACACTATCTAAAAGTGAATGTTAGGTTAAAATTAGTATTTATGATTTTAGTGCCATTATGTCAACAGATGACACACATCTGAGACAAAGGGGGTCTCTTTTGCAAAGGTCACCTGGCGGCGGGGGGGGGGGGTCAAGCCACAAACAACTGTACAGTGAAAATCAGATCCAAAAACAATGCTAAGAGGCCTACAAAAGGCATTTTATCCAAAAACTCAGCACATTCTTCAAAAGCACTGCCCTTGAAGAGGAAAGTGAATACCAATGTGTGGGGGAAGGCAACAGCGGTTGTCCAACGAATATATAATTCTCCCCACCATAGTAATGTGGAATTTCCACCACCTACTTGGGGGGGGAGTACTGCAACAATGCTCACTTGAGCAGCAAAATCACTGACTTTTTAAAGAGGAAAAAAATATAATCAGTGACGTTATGGGCAATATCCCTTCTTCATAACAGAGTTAGAGAGGCCAGAGTGATGGAGTGAATAATAAACGGTACTATACACCACGGGACCCGTGATACAAATACAATTTAACAAAAGAATGTGTTTTGTCCTCGACAACATCATCAGATTGGGTAACTTTGTGAAAACAGATTGTTCACAGATTGAATGAAAACGCCGCACGCTTGCCTATAGATTACAAAGGCATTGTTGAGGATATAAAGGAGTCTTTATTTGCTTAAGAATGTAAGGTTTTGTTCTATTCAATAAAGCCATACGCCCACGTCCTTTGTGAGCCATCACAGATCTCGACCGCCACCTGCTGACTGATGTAAGAACAGCAATTCGTGGATATTCTCGCCTGCACCAACCCGGACTAAGCAGTGTGATGAACAGGGCTGAAATGGAATAAATTACTGGGGGAACTCATAAATTATTCCCCCACCCCCACTAGGTCTGAGGAGGGGGACGAGGAGCTTCGCTCCGTGTGTGTCTTTGTATGTATATGTGGGTTTCTGTGTGCGTCTGTGGGTGTCTGAGCTGACCTGTGCGTCTCTATAAGTGTATGGTTCTCTGCGTGCGTATATGGGTCTCTGAGCGTGTCTGTGGGTCTCTGTGCGCGTATGTCGGTGTCTGAATGTGTCTGTGGGTTTCTGTGCGTGTCTGTGGGTTTCTGTGCGTGTCTGTGGGTTTCTGCGCGTGTCTGTGGGTGTCTGAGCTGACCTGTGGGTCTTTTTCCGTGTCTGTGGTTCTCTGCGCGCTTATATGGGTCTCTGAGCGTGTCTGTGGGTCTCTGTGCGCGTATGTCGGTGTCTGTGCGTGTCTGGGTTTCTGTGCGTGTCTGTGGGTTTCTGCGCGTCTCTGTGGGTTTCTGCGCGTGTCTGTGGGTTTTTGCGCGTGTCTGTTAGTCTAGATGGGGGTCTATCTGTGAGTAAAATAAATAAATAAAGGCGGGGTTCTGATTTGTACTTACACCACGGCGTCCCGGCCCATTTCCACCACTGGTGGTGCAGTATCGTCAAATGTAACGCGACTATAGCAGCATTGCAGGTCCTGCAAAGTGCACGTGGCGTCTAGAACAATTTTTTTACCCAACAGAATTTTTAGGGGTTGTTTGTCTATATTTCACCACGATGGAGCAGAGGCGTAGAGTTTAAACCGTGGATTTTGCTGCTGCGTCGATCTCTTCTGCGTCTTGGCTCACGGGGTTGAAGGTCTAGAAAAGGTTAATCATTTGCAGTCAGTGCCGTTGATGCCAACATCGAGGCGATGCAACATTTGCGTGGTCGGAGGCAAGTGAATCTCAACACAGTTGAATTTATCACAATCACCATGTTTAATCCTGGACTGCACGTTTAAACAAAACAATAAAGATAAATGCCCTGTCCTGTAGACATGTGCTGTTCCTTTCCTGAATGAGGGTTAATGACCCCCACCCACCCCACGATGTTGCGTTGAACCCAATTGAGTTCCTGATTGTTAACTGCGTGGGTATGGTGTCAATCTTTTATTCATCCGGAGAGCAAATTTTGACCCGCCCCCTACTGGATATTAGTGAAAAAGAGCTTCATAGCTCATCGGATTCCTCCTGTTTCAATAAATATTCTGATTATGAAATTCTTATGGAAATGTGCGAAAACCCAATAGCCCTTCCTTCATAGCACATTTAAGAAGGGCCATTTCACAAAATTGTCACCTATTACACATTTTCTCTTTCAAGGCCGAGTTTCTTGCCATGCTCTGTTCCTGAACGTCCGAGTTGCTGACCTTGTCACATTTACAGCATCCTCTGCTTAACACTCGGTGTTCAATAAGTATAACCCGTAAAAACAAAGTTTTTCACTATAAATCCTTTATATGCGTGGCGGCGAGAGTCCTCTCGTCCTCTGGCTTGAGATGGCTGCCACCTATGGGTCAGATGATTGCATTGCACCATTAAGCAATTGGTAATAAAATATATTTTTGTCCTAAAAAGTGTAACATTTTGGAAAAAAATGTTCACGAACATTGTCACGCACAACGAGTCTGTGTGGAAAATGTCAGCTCGATTGGATCACGGGAAGTGGGTTAAAAAACGACCGAAAAATTTGCACGGTTCTAAGCAAGCAAGCAAACTTAATATAAAGGATTTAAAAAGGGCCCAGACGCTTTTGAGTTGATTTGCTACATTGGCTTTCTGTGACCAATGCAATTAAGCCATTGCTTCAATACCCAGGGCCTAATCGCAGTTGGGATATATCAAAACTCGGCACGAGATATGACTGTTACTACTATTCAACGTGCTCGATTCCGATCTAGCAAGCGATCCAGAAGATATGCAGATAAATTATGCCACTGTCTACTTGTTTTTAATATACATATTACGGGGTCAAATATACCGTGTTGCACACCGGTTTCACTTCACGCAATTGTGGGCTTTTAGAACTTAACGTATTCGTAAATAAATCCCAAGCAGGACAAATTATATAATAGGTGACGTTTCGAGGCAATGTATGTTGAACTTCTTTCACGCCGCACGTAAACATGCTAATCGGAGGTGCGGGAAAGTCAATTACCCTCCTCCATAGCAGAGGTCAGACGTCGAGCGATCTAGTTGGGAGATTCCGTCATGCAACGCACGTGCACTAAATCAATTAATCTGTTCAGACCCTTCAGCCTGAAAATGCTTTTAAGCAACTCATCTAAACAATTTGCATTACCGTCCTTGTTAAGTCAATTACCTATAAATTAAAATGAGGTTGACCACAGAATCAACTTCCAATGCCAAACAGCATTTACAATAGTGGTTACATTATGCAATGTATACCAATAAAGCGTGTAGTCAACACTTGGCAGGTTCAAAGACTTATCCCTAGCAAGTATTTTTTTTATCAATGGACTTCTGCAATCATTGTCATTTCACCCCTAAATGAGGGCCTCCCAACGCCGTGATTATGTATCCCTGTCAACCCATACGGTTTACCCATATTCTTATACAGGGAAATTGAGTTCAGGTCCATTCGCCGTACAGCAGTTTCAATACGGACAAAAGTCTATTTCTCCCTTGTGATGGGACTTTGTAGGATTAACGTTGGGATTTATAATTGCCACGGGGGTGACCAATAAGATCTCAATTGGCCTGTAATGAGGTAGGCACTAAGGGGTTGACATGTATGACATTTCTGTACCACACTGGTCATTGCAGGTTGAAGGCTGGGAACAAAGACGATGCGTAGTTATTGCACTGCCCTATGATGGCAATGAACCCTGCTGCAACATCTATATGCATCGTCACGATACTAAAATCAATCATTTCAAGATTGGAGGACCCTACGACCCAAGACTCAGGTAATTTAGTCATATCGTGTTTGGATAACTTCCAAACCATCAGCAGTACTTGCATTGTCCATTTTATGCAACCATATAAATACTGGCCCATCAAATACATAAACAATTATAGGATAGATCAGAGTTCAATATTGCCATATTAAGGAACAAAGATTGTGCTTTTCGCTTAAGACCATACTGTATAACACTTTTGATGGCGAGTTTCCTGCCTGGATTCCTGTTCGGCTGGCGAGCCAGGAATAAATACCTGTGATGTCACCCACATCCAACATCAGAAACAATTTGTGCCATCACACCTAACCAATACTGCAGCTTACAACTATGCACTAATTCAGAACACATTTGGTTTTTTTAATAAAGTTTATTAGTTATCTAAAGTACGGAATGTAATGCAATTTAGTATACAAAACCCAGAACAAAACTGGTGCAATGCATCCGTCTATGAATATACAGCAGAATGAGGCGAACACCAATTCTTCTACCAGCTAAACGTAATACGAATACCAATTGCCAACAAAACACAAGTACCAACAACAGCAATGTTGGGAACTCTTTTATTGCCTCTTGCACTATACAGGATCTTTCGACAAAGCAAGCGACAACAAGTAGACGATGCCAAGAAGTGTTGCTGTGGGTGGCTGAACGGAGAGATGCTGTTGCAGCAGCAGCAGCAGGCCGTTTAGCTGGCCACCTGCTTGGCAGCCAACCGCTTGTCCCTCTCCTCGGCAATCGTCAGACGGATGCCCTTGCCACGTGGCAGAGACACCCACGGCTTCTGGCCCTGATCACCAAATAGGCGCGGTGGGGTGGGTAATAAGGAGCACAGTCAACGTCAACATTGTATATTAGAATTGTGTTGTCAATATAACATGTAAACCAACAGTATTTCAACAAGCCTCTACGTATGCTGATGAGACCAAGGTCAAAACCTGGACCAGTTTTGTTCGCATGCTTAATCAAATGCTGTATGATATTGTTATTAAGAGAAATGAGTTATGGTTATATTTGCTTAAATAACAGCTTTGTGTTTATGGGAGGTATTGCGTTCCAAGTGCAGGCATTACAAGATCTGAATCAATTCATATTTCTCTATTAACATATATTTATGGAATAATGGTCACAGGATAAAACTAAGGTTAAGGATGAAAACTTTTTTCAAACTCTAAATACATACAAAAAGTTGATTGGCAGTCCAGCTTATTAGTAAAGCCTTGATTACACGACTGATACTGCTAACGTTAAGTTTAAGTAAAACAGTGGAATTTATCTTTCTAATGGACCTCAGCCCCATATCCGCAGTGTCATCCAAAAAGTCACCAATTAAAAAATATCATCATCGGTCCATAACAGCTAAATTCCATTAATGTATATTTACGCTTCAAGTGTAAAGCACCATCCACCCCCCCCCCCCTGTTTGACCACATGGCAATGCGCATGACAAATAACACTCGAGACCATGTTTAATAACGGCGAACAAAGCGTCATCTGGGCTTGGGAGTGCACCAAGACAGACTTCTCTGCGCGCCTCACCTTGCCGATGACGAAGATGTTTCCCAGGCGGGTGGCGAACGTGTTCCCGTTCCCGTCCTTGACGTGCACCACATCGAACGAACCCAAGTGGCGCTCGCGGTTGGTGATCACGCCAATACGCCCCAAGTTGGCGCCGCCGGTCACCATGCACAGGTTTCCTGCAGGTGCACGTAAAACGTAAGTGGACAATGAACCGAAACGTCAAAGGAACCCACCCCCCCACCAAACAATACTTAATTAATTGGACAATGAATTAAATGCAATTGTTTTTTGTTTCGCTTTATGGTGATTCAGCCTTATTTCTGCCAGACCTCAGCCCCATATCCGCAGTGTCATCCAAACAGTCACCGACAAAAAGATATCATCATCAGTCCGAGCAGAATACAGCCACCAGATACTCATCGTATACATGCCGAACAAGTAGAGACCCATGAAATATCAAGAACAATTCTGTGATAGCGAATGATGCATTTATTTAGAATCAAAATTAGATGCAACCGCAAAGTAATTCTATACACATACCTAGGCTCTTAACTGCGAGTCAGATTAGTTGAGATAACATAATTTAATGTTTGATAAGTGTGTTATTGTCGAGATTTCACTTACGCCCATGTAGACGGTCAGAAAGACTATTATTTTAAGCCTCTTGATTTGTGCTAAAAAAAGTCTTGCGCTTCTTCATGGCAGATTACATTTTGAAAAGTGAGCCTACCACAATTGTTCCTTCCAAGTTAATATTAGGACTGATACAGATTTTTTTTTGCAGCTTAACAGGCCGACCACTGTTCATTTCCTCTATCCAATGCTCAACCACCATATTGGTTAAAACATGTATCTTTCCAACATTGCTCACACTGCTTAACCTTGTATTTCCCAAAGTTCCTGCAGCCTTGTTCAATTCAAGAAATGTATTTACTCGTATCTATTACACCTTCATTAATAGCGTCATTCACTGCTGGTAGCTTGGTGTTTTGGGCCTGTGCTCAGCAACCGTGCTGAGTTTTACCGGTGTCAAACTTGATGAAGTCCGTGATTTTGCCAGCCTCCAAGTCGAGCTGGATGGTGTCGTTGACCTTGATGAGGGGATCAGGGTAGCGGATGGTGCGAGCATCGTGCGTCACCAGGAAGGGGATCCCCTTGGTTCCCACGCGAACCTTCTTCACTTTGCACAACTTGTACTGCACAGAGCCACCACAAACAAACGCGTTAAAAACAGTTGTCACACAAAAAATATATGTAGAAACCTACCACACTCCAAACTACCACATTATAACAGACAAAAAAACACACCATATTCTCGTCATTGCAAGGGGCTCCAAAAAGTTAGATGTACCAGTAGACAAATCCAGTCACAATGAGTTACAAGATGCGTACCAAACTTTTGCTTCAAAACACAAGGCAAACAACGGTCTGTAAACCATAGATTACGGTAAGAGGCTGATGTTTTGAATGCCACATCAATGGAGCATAGAGCCGATGCTTAAATGTCATTGCCTGAAAGACCAATGATGTGTGTAATAAAACAACATTTGGGTCCGTCGGTTGAAATGTCTTCTTGGACGAATGCTCTTCCCTTAATCCATGGATGGATTTTGAGTTCTGGAGGTTCAGAAATTCAAATCTGTTCAAAACTTTGCCTTCTTAAATTAATACTGCCCAAAAGCATCCATCCACATGGACTTATGGCTGATAAAATGTTATTTTATCCGTCGGTAAAAAGTGCTTCACAAATGATTATTTTAATAGCCCGCGATCCAAGATGAGGTCATAAAGTGTGCATATAATTCTCACGTGAAACATCAGCTTATCTGCACACATGCGTATCGTATAAAAAACGTTGTATAAAGTACGTGCCCAATTACGTGCGCTAATAATTATAATCAAGCTTCAAAAGCTCATCAGCAATATGCTGATAACTTAGTGTGTTTTATAGAGGGGATGCGTAGCCACAGCAGATACAAATCTGATTGGTTAAAGTCCCCTCACATTGCTGTAGCATGTAGTTGGAGAGCAGTAGTCACTCAAAAAGGCTACAGCCCTTGGTTTCCATGCAGAATTATGGTATTCCCAGTTCTATTGCTCGTCATGTGTCCCACCATCTAACACAGCTGCTTCCAACAAAAATGTACTTTATATGACGAGATCTCTACAGCCTATTCACCATCAGCCGTGCTCAACCTAATTCTAGATGAAGGCCGACCTATGCCAATGTCATCTTCTATGCAGTCAAACACCCACCTAGCATCTGCACACAAGCAAATTCCATCCATTGGCTGCTACACCTTATTAATTCATCTATTCAGAGCGACACAAATATCAAAGCCAACTATGTTCCACGCACATGTGTACGACACAATGGGTGGGGGCCGAGTGCTGCAATGCCCACCTTGGCCTCCTCTGCTGTGATTCTGTGAACGGCGAAGCGGCCCTTCGTGTCGTAGATCAGGCGGAAGTGCTCTCCGGTCTTCTCGATGGTGATCACGTCTGTTAAGAGTCACGGACAAAACAAAATAAGTTATATTTTAAAAAACTTTTTTTTAATCACGCTCGTAATGGCAGAACTCCACGACTCCATGAAGTGGCCCCAAAGCTTGCCATAACGTAAGGGGCTGTGGTCATTTCCAGCCAACGTCAGTTGAGTGTGGACAATTAGACCCAAGCCGAAACACAACATATTAATAATAATTTAAAAAAATATATCATTTATATTTTTAATGATAGAATATAGTATTGTCATCAGTATGACATAAGTATACAAAGTTTGCAGTCGATACCACATTGGGAAGTGGGTTAAAACTGAGTTGCAAGATAAAATTGAGTTACAAGTTAATAAAAAGCGTGTAAAAATCAACAAAATTTAGAGTTACAATAGAAGCTACAATGCACCCCTTGTGAGGAACGGTGGGTGAGCGTATATCCGAAGTGAGCTTGTATTCGATGTTACCCTCTGTCTTCCACCCCATAAGTGTAATGTAATAATGTGATTCCTCTGTTTATAAGCAGTTTAAGCTGAAAGAGGATAGATATATGAGGATCCGTAGCCTTCACAAACCGTCCAACTATAGTCTGTTATACTAAGCCATGAATTTTAAATCAGTAATAAACTGTAGAGCTTTAATCTCTAATTTTCTTTCCGAAAACGAACTTCAAGACGACAGCTGAGAATGTAGTTGAACGTAAAGTTGCCACCAAAGCCACGTGAAATAAAGACAAGCGGCGACCGTCGTATCAACACGTTGCTATAGGCACCTTATTGACCGCACAAGGCACAAGAACAGCTCAAACGCGGGCTCTATTAGGGCCAGGGTAATGCACATTATGGCATTTTGCATTTCAATTCATGTATTGTCTTGTATTTACACACTGAAATGGTTTGCATACAAAACTGTTCTTTCTAAAATGGAAAAAGAACAATAGTCCAATGTGATTTCCAAGTATGTGCTATCACACATGGGTTCAGCTACAGATCCATTGCTACCTTGAATAATAATTACTTTGTCCATATAGGTTTTTTTTGGGTTAGACTACTTTGTGATTGCAATTCGTTACAAATTACAATTGCAATTGACACCAAATTTGCCACACGATTACAAACATTATAACCATCCCCCCCCCTTGCGTGTTGGTTAAGACTTGAATGAATTAACGTTAGCTTTACCAATGCCCCCTTCTAAAAATCAGTGTGGAGGACCCCGTGAAAATCCTCCAGTCTATAGCCAAACACCCCCAGGTGACCATGTCAAGGCTGGGGGGGGGGATTGGCGCTGCGTACCCATGAATCCAGCCGGGTAGGTGCTGTCCGTGCGCACCTTGCCGTCCACCTTGATGAAGCGCTGCATGCAGATCTTCTTCACCTCGTCGCCCGTGAGTGCATACTTGAGGCGGTTGCGCAGGAAGATGATGAGCGGCAGGCACTCGCGCAGCTTGTGGGGGCCCGTCGACGGTCGTGGTGCCTGCCCGTGCACACGCAGCGTTAATACTTCCCATTTGCCTCCATTGTACGCATTAGAGAGCCGGGACCATCAGATTATAGAATCTATTACTCTACCCGATTAGCGGTTCTATTATTCAAACTACAGGGACAAGACGATAGAAAAATAGCCTTGCCTCTGTGCCCATGATACCAATTTATAAAATACGTTTAAACACAGATGATTATTTTAAAATGAATGTAATATAGAGATAATGCACTATCTTAAAGGTATCGTGTAAAACTATTTAACTGTAAACATTTTTTTAATTTTACCAGGTAAGGCCCACTGAGCTACTCTGTATATCTTCTCAGAAGCGACCTGGCCACAAATGATAGCTTAACGAAGCGGCTTATCACGTGGGAATCTGTAGCGGCGAAATACTCTAAAACGCTTCCACCAAATTCAATTTTCGTCCGCTTCGCGAGTGAATGTAGTTCACCGTAAAGTTGCCACCAAAGCCACGGACTGCAGGCAGGCGGCGACCGTCGTGTCAACACGTTGCTGTTGGCACCTTATTGACCACTATTTGGCACAGAAGCAGCCAAATGCGGCTTCGAGAGGGCCGTACTTGTTAGAGATGAATAAAGTATTCAGGCAATACAAATGTTAACGTTTACCCAAACGTTCTAATCGTGTTTTGCAGTTGTCATACAGTAAGTATAAGTTAACTCACACCATCTCAACTTTATTCACTCTGGTTAAGGCAATCCCACTGTTAATTGATCAACTTTCTTTGCGTCAACTTCGTTGGCAACCTTTCGGTTTAAAAATGTCCAGATACTCTGGTGTCGTCTCTCACATCCTGAGGTCCTTACAATTTAACCAACTAAACATGGCAATACAGAACTACCCCCCTATCGAAAAGAGCGTCACGACTGAATGTACTTTTAATCATGTAGGCGATTGTTCATGCTTTGTAAGGACCATGTGCGTGGCTGTTGTTGGTGGTCGTGGTGCAGGCGCTTACGAACACGCCCGTGAGCTTGTCCAGCATCCAATGCTTGGGCGCTGCCAAGCGCTTCAGGTGCTTCTTCGGTCCTCGGGCCTGGCCAGACGATGAACAACACAAGACAACATTAATACACTCGAAAAGTCAATTTGATTAATAATTGTCGGGCAGGAGCCGGCCTAAGTTTTGTCGAAAACTACCAGCGTTTTCAGCAGCGAGCAGTGCATTAATATACACACTTGCGATACATTCTCTCACGTCTTTATCCAACCTACACTGAGCAACGTGGTTAATTATGGTCAATTAACCCTGACCAGTCGCGCACGGTTCAATTAAGAGGCCTTCATCCAGCAGTGAATTGAGCAAAGGGCTGGGGGACATTTAGATGCAATTCCTATGGCTGGTTGCATAGAACACTTAACGATTAAAAATTATCCTTTACAATGACTTAGGTAAACGAAAGTTTTCATTCAGTTATTTTTTGGCATCTAGCATTGAACCACTTTTAACTTTTAATTCACCCAACTTTTACACGAAAAGCAGCATCATCTACATAAAGAGGAATAAACGCGAAGCAATGCATATAAATGACCATTAGATTTAGTTATAATTTATTTAAAACCTTAGTGACCAATTCGCGCTGGACGACTTCAGGGACACCATTTTATGAAAATAAAAAAATACATTTCTAATGAAGTAAAGTTACAAAATATTAAATGTACTTGGAATTAAATAGGCTACGGGCCTACGTTACAAAGCCACTTAAAGACATTTCGTAACGCAACTTAACACGCGTATACAAGGCACTTGTTCGCTTATACAGTATTTATAAGACATGCGTATTTTAAAATCGAAGTTACATTTTAACAGCCCTAGTTCTTAACTAGCGCGATTTGTACCTATTAATGTAATGAGCAACGTGGTCTTACGAACAATCTCAAGTGAAGCCCGTCCGACTAGGCCGCGATTCTCTTAACTCTTTAATACCGAACCAACCACCGACAAAATTACGAAACTTATCTAGGTATAGACAATTTGAACACATCAGCATCTTAAACAAGACATTCTAAGCTCGTTAGTTTCATTCATAACGTGAGAGTCGTTTTTTTAACCACTGCCACCACCACCCTCCCCGGCATTAGCTGCCGGACAACTCAAAATATCTATAAAAATATATCCGATAACGAAACAAATAGTAGCACGGACGCGCGCGCGGCAACTCAACGAAGCTCACGGAAACATTTGTGGCGAGATTAGCGAGGCGAAAGGCGAGGATTGAGTCGGATTGCGAAGCCGACGATGAGAGCCCGGCGCGCAGCGCGACCCACCATCTTGCGAGGCGAAGAGGGAAAGGACAAACTCTCCCACAATGCCGCGCGACGTCACGTGAGCCCTCCTCGTGGCCACGCCTCCGTCGACTTCATTCAAAGCATTTCATTCGTCAGTTAAATTCAATTCGTTTCATTCGTCAGTTGAAATAATTAATTTCATTCATTAGTCTAATTCATTCATATTCTTAGGTTTTTTCGGTAAAGTCACGTAGGTAAAACATAAAAATTAATAAAAATAAAATAAAATAAAGATCACGACGTTTCGGAGGCAACACAAGTCTCCGTCATCAGGTGGTACCGTCACAGCCAGATCAGCTGCATCAAGTGATTTTATTTTTATTAATTTTGATGTTTTACCTACGTGACTTTATCGAAAAAACCTAAGAATATGAATCATTGCAGTCGCGAAAGCTTCAAATCTAGAACTAATTCATTCATTTAATTCGTCAGTTGAATTTCTTAATTTCATTCGCCAGTCGAATTAATTAGTTTAAATCATTAGTATAATTAATTGATTTAATTCGTGAGCCGAATTAATTAATTTCATTCATTAGTCTAATTCATTTATTTCATTCGTCAGTTGAATTCAATTAACAATTTAATTCGCCAGTCGAATTTCTTAATTTCATTCGCCAGTCGAATTAATTCCATTCATTAGTCTAATTCATTCATTTCATTCGCCAGTCGAATTAATTCATTCATTCGCCAGTCGAATTCAACCAACAATTTCTTAATTTCATTCGCCAGTCGATTTAATTAATTTCATTCATTAGTCTAATTCATTCATTTAATACGTCAGCCGATTTAATAAATTGCATTCATTAGTCTAATTCATTAATTTAATTCGTCAGTTGAATTCACTTGATGCCGCAAATCTGGCTGTGACGGTCCCACCTGATGACGGAGACTTGTGTTGCCTCCGAAACGTCGTGAGTTTATTATTTTATTTTTATTAATTTTAATTTCATTTTTTACCTACGTGACTTTACCGAAAGATTATGCTTTGGTTCTTTCGGTAAAGTCACGTATAAAAATAAAATAATAAATTAAATAATAGCATACGACGTTTCGATTGCAACACAAGCAATCATCATCAGGTATAAATGAAATAGCAACAAAAAAATCTAAGTAGAAAACTATAGACAGACATATAAGCAGACACAGGTACCTGTGTTACTCTCTCTATGTATTTTGGTGATATCTGTCTGCTTATATGTCTGTCTATAGTTTTCTGGTTAGATTTTTTGTTGCTATTTCATTTATACCTGATGCTGATTGCTTGTGTTGCAATCGAAACGTCGTATGCTATTATTTAATTTATTATTTTATCTTTATACGTGACTTTACCGAAAGAACCAAAGAATAATTCCTGCTGTCACGAAAGCTCCAAAATTATTTTTTTTCGATTTAAAGCTTTCGTGACTGCAGGGATTCATCTTCTTGGTTCTTTCGGTAAAGTCACGTAGAAGGGAAGTAATAAAATAATAAAAATAAAACATAATAAAATAATTTTTATTTTAAGTAATAAAATAATAAAAATAAAACATAATAAAATAATTCTCACGACGTTTCGGCCACAACGCAAGCAGACGCTGTCTCCCCGACAGACCTGGTCTTTACCTGAGGACGGCTGCTTGCGTTGTGGCCGAAACGTCGTGAGAATTATTTTATTATGTTTTATTTTTATTATTTTATTACTTCCCTTCTACGTGACTTTACCGAAAGAACCAAGAAAATGAATCCCTGCAGTCACGAAAGCTTCAAATCTACAATCGTCACAAAAGCCTGACCCCGCCCCCCCCCCCCAGCTGCGTGACGTCATTTATGGCCGGTCCCATACCCGCCTGTCTCGCCAGAGGGCGGTGGCGAGGCGCACGAAGATGACGCAGGGAGCGAGGGAGGAAGGCGCCGCCACGGCGCAGTCCGCCCCCGGGGCGAGTTGTCTTCACACAGCGCGGCTCGTGACGGTCAACAGCACCCGAACGACTTCTCCTTCCTACATCGACGAGTCCGTGTGGTGTGTAGTGGTGGTGTGGTGTCTGGTGTGTAGTGTCTAGTGTGTAGTGTGGTGTAGTGGTGGTTGGTGTAGTGTCTAGTGTCTGGTGTGTAGTGTCTAGTGTGTAGCGTGGTGTAGTGTGGTGTAGTGGTGGGTGGTGTAGTGTCTAGTGTGTAGTGTGGTGTAGTGGTGGTGTGGTGTCTAGTGTCTGGTGTGTAGTGTGTAGTGTGGTGTAGTGTGGTGTAGTGGTGGGTGGTGTAGTGTCTAGTGTGTAGTGTGGTGTAGTGGTGGTGTGGTGTCTAGTGTCTGGTGTGTAGTGTGTAGTGTGGTGTAGTGTGGTGTAGTGGTGGGTGGTGTAGTGTCTAGTCTAGGGTCTGGTGTGTAGTGTGTAGTGTCTAGTGTTGTGTAGTGTGTTGTGTAGTGTCTAGTGTTGTGTAGTGTGTTGTGTAGTGTCTAGTGTTGTGTAGTGGTGGTGTAGTGTGTAGTGTCTAGTGTGTGTAGTGTGTTGTGTAGTGGTGGTGTAGTGTCTAGTGTGTAGTGTCTAGTGTTGTGTAGTGTGTTGTGTAGTGTAGTGTGTGGTTGAGTGTAGTGGTGGTCTAGTGTGTAGTGTAGTGGTGGTGTAGTGGTGGTGTAGTGTCTAGTGTGTGGTGTAGTGGTGGTGTAGTGGTGGTCTAGTGTGTAGTGTAGTGGTGGTGTAGTGGTGGTCTAGTGTCTAGTGTGTGGTGTAGTGTGTGGTGTAGTGGTGGTGTAGTGGTGGTCTAGTGTCTAGTGTGTGGTGTAGTGGTGGTGTAGTGGTTGTGTAGTGTGTGGTGTAGTGGTGGTGTAGTGGTGGTCTAGTGTCTAGTGTGTGGTGTAGTGGTAGTGTAGTGGTGGTCTAGTGTCTAGTGTGTGGTGTAGTGGTGGTGTAGTGGTGGTGTAGTGTGTGGTGTGTGCGAGGTGGTGGTGGTAAACACGACGGCGAGACAATAACAACGGCGATCTGCAATAAGTTGTCCAGGGCCATTTTTTTGGTGAATTCGTGAGAATCCCGAGAGAGAGAGAGGGGACCCCCCCCCCCGGGGCGAGATTACTAGGATCGGAGTGATGTTCAAGTCTCTGGGAAGCTGGTTCGGCGGCGGGAACAGTCCAGACGGACACGGGGAGAGGGGAGAGGACGAGGAGAAGGTGGTGGAGGAGAAGAAGGGGCAGGAAGGTGATCGACAAGAGAAGCAGCAGCAGCAGCAGGAGAAGGAAGAGGAGGATCTGGATGTGACGGGGCAGGCTGGCGTGTTTGGCAGTGAGTGGTTATCCGACTGTCGTCGGTCACACACACACACAGACGTGGTCACACACACAGACAGACAGACGTGGTCACACACACAGACAGACGTGGTCACACACACACAGACAGACGTGGTCACACACACAGACAGACGTGGTCACACACACAGACAGACATAGACACACACACAGACACGATGTAGACACGCACACGTGGTCTCACACACACGTGGTCACACACACAGACAGACGTGGTCAGACACACAGACAGACAGACACACACACAGACACAGACGTAGACACACACGTGGTCTCACACACACGTGGTCACACACACAGACGTCGATACACACAGACGTGGGCACACACACACGTGGTCACACACACAAGTGGTCACACACAAACAGACGTGGTCACACACACACACACAGACGTGGTCACACACACAAACAGACGTGGTCACACAGACAGACACACACAAAGACGTGGTCACGCACACACAAGTGGTCACACACACAGACAGACGTGGTCACACACACACAGACGTGGTCACAAACAGACATAGACACACACAGACACACGTGGTCACACACAGACATACGTAGACACACACAGACGTGGTCACAGACAGACAGACAGACGTGGTCACACACACACAGACGTAGACACACAGACAGACGTAGACACACACAAGTGGTCACACAGACAGACAGACGTGGTCACACACAGACAGACGTAGACACACACGCAGACACACGTAGACACACACACAGACACACGTGGTCACACACACACACACACAGACGTGGTCACACACAGACAGACGTGGTCACACACAGACATAGACACACACACACGTGGTCACACACACACAGACATAGACACACACACACGTGGTCACACACACAGACACACGTGGTCACACACACACAGAAACACGTGGTCACACACACACAGACGTGGCGGTGTTTACGTCAGCACGTCAAGGTTGCTTGTGTGTCATCTGTATATTGTACCAGTGCGGCTACTTTGTCAACCCAACTGCTTTGGATGAGTCGGGGCCGTTGCGGGTACAATAGTTGCCTTGGCTATTATGACCATACTTCACCACGCTGGTCCATTGCCGGTTTGGTGAAGCCAAGGGTGCAATGGAGGGTACGGTACAACTATCGATTTTGGCTTTACCGCTGCCCTCTGCTGCTCACCCACAGCAGCCTATAGCACCTACCCAGGCCCCCAAACTTTGTGTATTAGCTAAACCTATTGAGAGAGAGAGAAATAAGTAATATTAATTTTTTTTTAAACACGCTTTAATGACATTTACCCTACTCGTAATGGCAGAACTCCACGACTCCAGGAAGTGGCCCCAAAGCTTGCCACAACGTAAGGTGATTTACAGGTAACGTGAGTTGAGCGTGGACAATTAGACCCAAGCCGAAACATAACATAAAAATGAATGTTTAAAAAGATGTTTTGTTTATTTGTTTTGATAGAATATGGTATTGTCATCAGTATGACATAAGTATACCAAGTTTGCAGTCGATACCACATTGGGAAGTGGGTTGAAATCGAGTTGCAAGATTTGAGAATACGACAACAACAATAACAGAGTGAGCGAGTTCATAGAAAGCGTGTAAAATGATCGTTTACATTTTTATTTTTTTGTGATAGAATACAGTATTGTCATCATTATGACATAAGTATACAAAGTTTGCAGTCGATACCATATTGGGAAGTGGGTTAAAATTGAGTTACAAGATTTGAAGATACGACAACAACAGACAGAGTGAGTTCATAGAAAGCGTGTAAAAAGATCGTTTACATTTTTTCTTTTTTATGATAGTATATGGTATTGTCATCAGTATAACATAACTATACCAAGTTTGCAGTCTATACCACATTGGGAAGTGGGTTAAAATTGAGTTACAAGATTTGAGGATACGACAACAACAACAGAGTGAGTTAAATAAAAGCATGTAATAATAAAAAAATGTGACTTTAAACTTGTTAATGAGTTTTGGTGACGTCGCTATTCAACTTTATTTTATTTGACCAGGTAAGGTCACACTGAGCAATGCTAAATGTACAATTTAGTCTCAACCTTCTTGATACATATTGAAAACGGTTTCATAATAGGCACGATCTTTAGATATGTAATATGAGAGATATTTGTTTTGTGTCGTGTTGAGTGGTCCCTCTTAGCTCCGTGGTTGTGAATGTTTGGTTAAAAGATTTGGCAACCTTCATATAAGTTACTTTTTTTTACAGAACTGTGTGCGAATCATCACGGACCGCTTAAACTCCCAACCTATTATTTTAATTTCAAAGTCTCCGAGCTTAAATATATCCAGAAGGCCTCTCGGCCAGAACGTGGGCATCTGCCCTTCCTCACGGTGACAGTGATGAAGCCTGTTTATGAATGATTGATTGTCATGTTGTATTATGCATAAAGCGACACACTCACTCGCAGCCAGCAACTTGATGCCATAGAATCGGGTGTCGCCTGAAACACCCGTGCGATCTGGCAGAAGGAAGAAAGCAATGGCATCAAATGCATTGGCCGTGATCTTTTTTAAACAAACTCCACACAATCGTGAATAACACCACCTCAAAACTGATGATAATATATGGTAGGCGAAGTTTCTGGCAATGGCTCTTCACAGCATACAGAGGCCACAGAGGCAGAATGGGTCCATGTGTATTTTAGTGTATTTCCCTCCCGACAGTTTGGCCCGGGTTAGTATTATCCTGTATCCTTGGGGAAATTGTAAATACTTGTATCTTTGGGGAAATTGTTAATACGTAAGCTCCTGAAATCAGGAAGTCCAGGGAATAACAATAATAATATTTGGATTCTATACCGCGTCATTCATGCAAATGACAACCCAAAATTCTGAATACAGTACGCTTACTAATTTTACTTGCTAAAATATCTCCACATATTCATGTGGAAACGACCCTTGGCCTGGTGGCAGGACTACATTGGCCATGCTACCGTATTCTCTGGATTATAAGATGCACCGGGCATTTAAGATGCACCCCAAACGTGTGGCCCCATGCCTCTTAATATAGTTTAAAACAATCTGGTCAAACGCACAAAATCGTACCAAAAATGTTGGTTTGAAATTACACATCGCAAAATTCCATCTCGTAATCAGGAGAAATAAAGTATGCAGTACTTAAACGTATCCCGTTTCATTTCGTAAGGGGGTAGCACTTTGGATTAAAACCCAGCAACACTGGCTGACGATTGCTGAATGTAATAGCAACCATCTGCGTGGGATGGGCACTTAAAGTCTTTCACGTGGCACACTTTTTTCCATTGGCTCAACGTGCTTTTGCGCATTGCAAAACACAGAGTTAGACTTTTAGTGAAAGTTATCTTTTATATTTATCTGAACTAGACGTGGAGTTTTGACATGGGTATACTTATTTGACGTGACAGCATTTGGCCATACATCCAACATTATTTTATGTAAACAGTCATTTGCAAATGGGTCTACAGTGTAGGCTACGTGTTATCGTTAGGCTGAGCTCTTCCAATGATTGTATTTTCATGGGCTCTTTCAATTTGAGTGGTTTTTTTCTACGAGTAATCCGTTTAACACATAGGCTTTTGCGACCAATATTATTCAAAGTTTTTGGGTTAGATCACGTTATTTATAAATGTGTCATAACCCTCCACCACCCGACACGGCCAATCAGTAAAAATGTGTCACTTTGACAACAGACAAATAGTTCACTACTTTAGCCCACCGGTGTGTTGAAGAGTGAAACCACAACATTTACAATTTTTGAGTACGACGTTTCGCTGGTGATTGCATCCAGCATTATCGGGCAATTCGCCATTCTGACGACGTTTTGCTGCTAATTGCATTCTGACGAATTGCCCGATGATGCTGGATGCAATTACCAGCGAAACGTCGTACTCAAAAATTGTAAATGTTGTGGTTTCACTCTTTAACACACCGGTGGGCTAAAGTAGTGAACTCTTTGTCTTTTGTCAACGTGACACTTTTTTGCTGATTGGCCGTGTCGGGTGGTGGAGGGTTACGACACATTAATAAATAACGCGATCTAACCCAAAAACGTTTATTGAGTAATCCATTGTCGACAAAGACAATGGAATAATGGCTGAAAAGTCTGCAGGGAAACATGCAGGAGAGATTCTGGGAATTCTAAAGAATGACAGAAAGAGGAGCTCAAGGATTTGAGAACATAGGCAGGTTAGAGAGATATTATTTTGACTTCGGAAATGTACGTGGCCTTGGGTAGGACACGTCGCTCGAAAAGGTGGTGGCAGTTGGTCGAGACTAACGATGGAATGGCAGCCAAAGGTGGGAAACTGGACGGAGAGGACGTCCACTGGATATGGTGCAGTGGACTCGGTTCAAGCGCAAATGCGAGATGGATTGTCGCAATGCAGGACCGGCAGTGATGGCAACGCCTTGGGTAGGCCTTAGAATGAAAACCCATTTCTTTATAACTGCTTTTAATGTTTAATTTGTTGTACTTCCCCCGCACCTCCGATTAGTACGGTCGGTGCCAAAGAGGTTCAACATACCTACGTACATACAGGCCTTCATCCAGCAGTGTATTTATCATGGCTGATGATGACAATGATGATGTTGCCTCCACCGCTTTGTACAGACTACCTCTACAACGTGGCGGTATCTGCCACCAAGAAGGTGTCCGAGTCGGTGTTGGAGACGGCACAGACGCTGCGAAAGACGGTGGAGGAGGGGAAACTGGACGTGATCCTGGACAAGGTAGGGCCCACATTGGAGTCCGTATGGGACACACGTGGTGGTCATGAACTGATCTCTAAACAGGGATCTATTCATATTATTTCGTACGGTTATTTGAAAATAAATGGACCGAGTTGCATTAATGGTGCAGTGTCATGGGACAAAGAATCCAATCGGATTCTTCCCAGAGCAGTGCAAGCCTCCATGTTAGAGAGTGGACCATGTAGGTGAATATCATAAAGCCTTTATCATGAAGGATATCACAAAGCCTGCTACCTCTGAGATATCTTCAAATGACCTGGTCCTCACAATAGAGAGAAACACTTTAACACCTTCCCTGCCTCGTATGACAAACTCATATTTTATAATCTCAGAGTTGGACTTCAACCAAATTATGTTCATTTTGTGCAGATGTTGATGGCTGGGCTGAGATCATCAACTCGCAAGCTTTGAGAATCTGACTTAATCACAGGCAGCTGCCTGGATCAAATCCAGGATCTGAGCGATGTGAGCTGCTCGGCGCTTAGCCGTCCGATTCACCTGACCACCTCCAATGATAAAAGATTAATTATCATGTCAACGTCAGTCGGGCCAGCTGTCGTGACATCGCTGTGGTGTCACTCCCGTACATTTAGTGCAACCGTAGCTGGAGGGCCACGTGGCTTAAGTGTGTAGTTAAAAAAAAACAAGGGGGAGTGATCACACATAATCCATCCCTGGGTTTTATTTAATTACTTGCTCAAGATTAAATTCGTTTGCTTCACTTCCGGGATTTAAAATGGCGCTCACAGTGTAGCTTGTAATTTCTCATCACAGAGTCATCTTAAAGTGTGAAATAATCTGAAGTTAAACATGGAAATAGTGTTGACAATCTATACAACTTGAAAGCTGTATTCGTTTCTTTTTTTAAGATGATGATCGAGACGTTACCACGGCCAAAGCCGTTGATGGCACAGAGGCCTACGACAAATCTGTCTGTGTTCTATTATACCACTGCTGCACTGGCTATATCAAAGTTTTTCTTATTTTGTACAAATATTTAAACGCTGCTGTGAGACGATTTTTTTAATTGGCCGTACCCACCCATTCTTGCAATAAAACAGGTGTTAAGATATTCAAACACCCAATCGATGCCTATTGCAAGGCATCATGTCTGCACTAACCGCACATACTTGGCAAAACATGCAAAAAACATACTCTGATAATATATGCATTGCCTTTGAGCAATGCATATGATGCAAACTTGATGCCTTGCAATAGGTATAATATTTTGTGTTTGAACATCTTAGTGCTGTGAGACGTGAGAAAAAAAACGCTTCAGCAATAGCAACCAGCCTAAATCTCATTGCTCGTGTATTCGTCGGCTTTAGGGAATTCTCGGGGAATTCAACAAGGAGCAAGAGAAGTTTAAGCAGGAGAATCTTAAAAAGAGATCCGGTAAGAGTATGAACTTACAGCGTATTGTTTTTGCGTCCAATGCTATGATTCGTAATTGATATTTGGGTTAGGCTACTGAATGACCTGGCAAAATTTGTGTCGTAATACCCTCCACCACCTTAAATTGTCATGCGTACAAGTGTTTAACAGGCCGGTGAGCTGAAACAGCACTTGGTCGTGTTGTTAGACGCTTGTGCACTGCGTAGCAATTTAATTTGTTTGGCTACATCGGGTGGTTGAGGATTCTACGACTCAAATTTGGATCGAACATTAAGCGGCCTAACCTAAAAATGTATTATGAATCAGATAAGAGTCTTATCACAGTTTATTCCATATTTTAAATGTGCACTTTCTATATAATCCAAAACATTTTTTTTACAACTTAATCTCCATTTCATATGTCGGTATTTTATTTGTGTAATATATAATTGTAAAGTTATTGTCTGTGGCAAATGTTGAAAAAAGAGATATTCTCAATGGGCTCTCATCTCATAATAAACAAAGGATTTTAAGTTAAGGGTAAAACTGTAGGATTGAGTGGATTTCTTGTATAATTGACGTAAAGAATACAATTTGGATTTTTTTAAAAGCTAAAGGCGCAGCCCTGCAATTGCCTTGCTCACACCACTGCTAGTGAACTCCAGAGGGTATTAAGTCTACTCTTCCACATTGGCCAGATGTATTGTGTGAGATGGTTATACCCACACTTTACCACACCACACGCAAGTGAGTTCAACGCAGATGGGCCAGACAACTGCAAACCTGCAGGCTTCCATATACCGTCATGAATCTGCGTCACTGCGAACGCCGTGTGTGTAACAGATGTGGCGGTGCCCCCGTGGGTTGGCTGTCACGACGAGGACACGGTCCGCCAGCAGATCCTGGCCCTCTCCGCGGTGAGATGCAACCTGTCCGTTGGCATCGCCACTGCGAGCGGGTACCCGCTAGGCGACCCTGACGCCTGCTGTATATTTGGTGTTTGCGTGCCTCTTTTTCTCTGTGGTCGCGTGAATTTTTCTCCGGGTTATTCAGTTTTTCCCCTCCGCATTTAGAAGCACACATTTCTAGTATTTGGCTGCTCTACATTTCCATGTGATAGGCCACTTGGTTGAGCTATCATTTGTGGCCAGGTCGCTTCTGAAAAAGAGCTATGTAGCTCAGTGGGCATTACCTGGTCAAATAAAATAAATAAAAAGGTGGCACGTGACGGGTAGCCACAGCCATCGTGAGAGGCATACTGGATGTATGTTTAACTTTTTTTTTACTACAATGTACGTAGCCCACCGTGCTAATCGGAGGAGCGGATGAGGATGTCACGGATGCAGAAATATTCTCTGCGTCGCCAACCAGGCTGAGATTTAGTTCCATTAAATTCATCCCTTTTTATATATGAGGCAAGGATACATCGATTAATATTGATCCTAATATATGTGTTAAATAACAAAACACGTATATAAACTTAATTCGGCCAGGTGGCTTAGCAACAGAGTGAGCATCTCGCAATGTTGCGAGCTCAAATCCTGGTTTGGTAAATGCAAAAAGATGAGTACTGCTTTGTATGTAGAACTTGCTTTGCACCATATATAGCAGTGCTAATCGTAGGTGTGCGGAAAGACAACAAAGTAAACAGAAAAAGCAATGCTAAAGAAATGTGTTTTCAATCTAGATGTTAAAGTGCATCGCTCCAGTGGCTTCTTAATATTGGAAGGAAGAGCGTTCCAGATGGCCGCAGAAGCTCATATGAAGGCGCGATGCGGTGACCGGTCTCGTTCCACGGCTAGCCAAAAGCCACTGCTTTGCGGTGACGTCAACGGCGGTTGTCCCATGGATAAACTCGACCCCTACCATAGGAATGTGGAATTTCCACCACTGACCCAGGGCTGTAACTAGATGAGCAGCGCCCCAATGCTCATGTCGGTATAAAATGTATTTGCAACAATTGTTTACTTGCTTCCCTGGGTGCGAAGTCCCTTCAGAACGAAACCTCCGCACGCGGCCAATAACACTGCCATTGGGTGGGAAATTTATATCAGAGGCAACGTTTCAGTCAATGGCCCTTATTCATAGCAGAGATATTTGAATAAGGTCCACTGCCTGAAAACGTCACCTATTATATTCCTGAGGCCAGGCCGATCCGGCGCTTGACATCGGGTCCACATCGTTCCATCAGTGGTCTGTACAGATCCGAGCTAGAAAAATTCCTCCCCTGCTTCGACAGCGTTACCAATCATCACACAGGCTTGCTTCTGGAGGTCTGGAGCCCAAGTTCTGGGCTTTTTTTCTTTTCTGCCATGAAATATTTAGTCCCATTTTTCTTGCGTTGTTGTGGAAATTATTCCTTCTGCTTCGGTGCAGTGTTATTGAGCAATGTGTTGAGTTTTTCTTCACTTACAATGAACGAGTGGACGGTTGAACTGTGTGCGTGTGTGACTGATTGACTATGATGATGATGACGACGATGACGACGATGGTGACGAAGATGGTAGCGGTGTTTTCTGACATTGCGTGGTGTTCATCAGGAGCGACGGAACTTCCTGCGAGACCCGCCGGACGGTGTGCAGTTCCACTTCGACTTCGACGAGACCTTCCCCGTCGCCACGGTGATGCTGGAGGAGGACGAGCTGCTCAAGCAGATGCGCTTCGACCTTGTGCCAAAACTGTGAGGGTCCTGCGGCACTGGCGTTATAAAACATAAAGATCCCCCGTATAGCCTTAACAGACTGTTGGGGCAAGTGCTGTTCGCAAACACCTATGAAGGCCGGCACGGCACACGAGGGGATGGGTGGCCAGCACCACGCCCGGCCGCCTTTGTCTCCCCAGTAGCGATGTTTACACACCGCACCAGGTACTCATTTGAGGCTGAGTCGACCGAGGAGAGGCCCAGTACCGGTTCAGATAATCGCCACTGGTATTGGTGGCCGTGAGCGGGAATCGAATTCCGGTCGCCGGGTTGGTAGCGCAGCGCGCTAACCACTGCACTACCGCTCCCCACTGGCATTCACACACACGCGGCGTGTGACGCTCGTGGTGTCCACTAGAGGTGCCACGTATGCCACCGTGCCAGGGCTTAATTTCTGTGTCGTTGGTAGATTGGTGTAGGCCATAGAAGCAGGAATTTTTTGAGAGAGATGAAGGTAACGGAGGTGCCATACAATTGCGCTGCTGGCGAAAGGATCAGCAGTGGACTTGCAATCCACAAGTCGCAAGTTCATTCTCCCCGCACAACAGTAGAAATAATGGTGCAGGTTTCTTAAATCTTCGCCCCCCCCCCCCCACGACCTCCTCTGTCCACTCGGCAGTAAAAAAAAAATGGGTGAACCACAGTTACTAAGCAGGTCGGGTGTGGTGGGGTAAAGTGTGGGGACTTCCACCTCTTCTAAATCGATCGGCCAGTGTGGATGAGTCGCTCAAATACCCACGATAGCTCTCTAAAGCTTGCTCTAGTAGAGGCCTCGGTAGTGGTGCGAGTGAGCAGTTGTAGGGTAGCACCTTTGCCTTTATCACCGATTTGGGATCGTTAAATCTTGATTTAAAGCTTTCGTGACTGCAGGGATTCATATTCTTGGTTCTTTCGGTAAAGTCACGTAGAAGGTAAACAATAAAATAATACAAATATAAAACAATGTGGTTGCGGTCGTTGATTGGAAGCGTGCAATCCCTTACCCACAGGGTGAAAGAAGACCGGTTCTGGAGGAACTACTTTTACCGCGTGTCGCTAGTGAAGCAGTCGTCCCAGCTGACAGCATTGGCCGCTTCACCTCAGTCGTCTTCCTCCACGGCTTGCGAGCAGCTGGAGATGCGGGCAGGAGAGAGCAGGGACGCTGCGTGGACACACGACTCCACAGGTAGGGCCCCACTGCTTTCACGAGTGTTTGTCAAAAGAAAGCCAGTCTTGGCCATTCCCTCTGCAGTTTGGTTCAGAGCATTGGCAAGACTTTTTTGAGTTGTTGCAGTAAATCGTTTGTTCTGTTGGTGTTGGTGCCATTCTTAAAGCTCAAGGCTATAACAAAGGTTCTGTGTTTCACAGACAACTGCAGTAGTTTCACAGTAATGGGCAATGTTGCTTTAGGTCATTCGCAAGTAATTTGAAAATGAGAAAAAATTGGATCGTGACGCTGGCACACATTGCATCCACTTTTTTCAAATATTGTCAAAGTATCTTTGAGGCTCACTGCGAATCAGGGCGGCCGATGAGCTCAAACCACGAACCTCTGCAAAGAGCGTCAAAAGGCACACCCTCTCGGCCGTGTCACGGAACAAAACAACAACAGCCGCCGCCATTAGCCACTAAGTGGCGGTGACGTGACCACAGCACTTATGCCAAGCTCATTACGGCCACATGATGTGTCGAAGGCCCGCTGACAGGTCACGGGAAAGACCCAGGTTTTATGGGGTAACTGCATGAGATGATTGACAGATGCAAAATGGTTCGTAACAAAACACACACACACATGCAGAGAGTTGATTTATTGTGTCTAAATTACTCAATTACTGATTTTGATTTGCTGTGTTAGACTCCACCAAACCAAGGACGCCACCGCTGTCGATAACGAAACAGGCGACTGGACCAGAGGTATGGTGCCCTGATCTGAACAAAAATACGATTCTCACAACCCACCACACACGGCAAAATATTTACTAAAACACAACAGGGATTCTTAAGAGTAGTAATACACAAATAAGGTGATTTACAGACAGAAAAGGGATGTTTGCGACCACACTCGCGCACACTGTGAAGAATACGGGGGATGAACGTACGAACATCACCCAGAAAGGTGCCCGAGTAATTGAACGTATATCGCGTCACGCTGCCACGCAGCGTTATTAAGGAACGCATTGAGTTTTTCTCAGACACTCAGTTGGTTGCTGTGCCCGTGCCGCCTCTCCCTTGCCCCGACAAGGGAGAGGAGGAGGAGATGTCCATGAGCCCGAACCCGGAGGAGTTTGCCAGCGAGGCGTTCAGTGATCCGGGCGGCACGCGTATGTGCGCCGACGAGCTGCAGAAGGCCATGCGGGAGCTGGGCATGGGCAAGGAGTCGGAGAGCGCGCCAGCGGCGGCGGTCACGGCGGCGGCAACAGGAGGAGGAGGAGACGCGGCGCAGAGAACAGCAGGAGGTGGTGCCGGCGCAGCGGAACCGGCAACGCATGACGGGAAGCCTCGGCATAATTACAACACCGCGGGCGCTGTCGCTAAAACGATTATATGAGCGCGAGGTGTAAATGACGGAAGTGCTCTAATCGTAGAGTCCGGGCTGTACGGATGTAAGCGACCCTACGTTGGTACCAGCATCGTGGCCGTACGTATAGAACGTCCATGAAGGACGTCAGTGTTGTCTCATATGGTTACTTTTTTCGCCCAGCACCAGCACCGTCTCCCCAGCGGCAGTGTGTAAACATCGCCGCTGGGGAGACAAAGGCTGCCGGGCGTGGTGCTGGCCACCCACCCCCTCGTGTGCCGTACCGGCCTTCATAGGTGCTTGCTAACAGCACTTGCCTCAATAGTCTGTTCAGGCTATACGAGGGGGATCTTTTGTCTTGTGGAGCATCGGGTCGTTCAGCTGTTCGGCGTTAACGACGCTGATGACCGAAGCCGATCCTGACCGCTGCTGTGATAGAAGAGCGATCCTGGCATTGGCTGCGTGGATGATCAGGATTAGCGTCATTTTAATATCGATGTTATGCAAGGCGTTGAAATTGTTCAAAATGCCCAGCTCCAGTTTTAATGCTGGAATGCATTAACAGGGTTGTGTGAAGGCGTATAACAGCTCACATTGTTCCTCGTGCAGTTAACCTTTCCAGATTTTCCATTTTGCTTTGGATAGTTGTGTTTCGTTAAATGTCTTCCTAGGGATTATAACGATCATTTAATTGTATGCACATGAAACAACTTATCTGGAAAACGTGATCTGGCACTTACAGGCCAACTGAGGTTCAACATCGCTTGACCTCCCATAAACGTTCCACGTTCTTACTTTTGCAGATGCCGAGTGGGAGGAGAAGATTCAGCAGGAGATTCAGGACTACAACATCGAGGAGGATGAAGACAAGGGATCTTGGGAGGACGAGATAGAGGAGATGCTGCAAGCGGAAAACTGATGTTGTGGCCGCAGAAAAAAGAAACGAACGGACATTTTTCACGGTGCCATTCGGCCATTTCCTAGCTGATGCTGCAGGTGGCTCCTACCCACCAGCTTGTGTCACATAATATCGACAGATGTTTGTGCACGTTGCGTCACCTTTCGGCATCCCTTTTCAAGGAATATAATTTGCGCTGTATTATACGCAAGTTGTGTAACTAATCATGTTGTCAATGTACACACCGTAATTTTTAGTACAAACGTACGGGTTGAAATGATTTGACGCCCCTTTTTTGGTAACGAAGCAATGCAATACAATTAATAGTGCAAAGCCCTTTTGTCAACCCACCACTGGATGGAGGCCTTCCCATGCCGTGTTGGTCATGGTGTTTGACCATACCTCGCCACGCTGGTCAGTGCGGGTTTGTGAAGGGCACACCCAGGAACGGTTCGATGCCCACTGTCAATGTTAGTCGTGGCCCGGGATTCAAACTCAGGGAGCCGGGTTCATAGCGCAGTGCTCTAACCATGCCACTGCTCCACGCCGCAAACAATTATACAATACTATTTGTATAAGCATCTCTGAAATGTGCATGACTTTTCCATCTCTCGCTGGCAGACACTGAAGTCCAAATTTAAGCATGCATTTATTACTCTGCACTACAACAGGTCTGCAAACATCATTCGCATCTCCTGTAAATATTGTTTCAGGCCTAAATAAACAGTTGAAACGCAAGGACTCGTGACAGGTGTTTGGAGCCAGTGTTGCGTGGAGGCAGGTTTCTAGAACGGTGTTGCGCTTGGTGACGCAGTTGTGCACGTTCAAGCCATAAGGCACGGATGGTACCATTCATTCCCGGGCTGTCTCATCCGTACTTTGTTCAACAATCTCACTGTAAATCACAACACTACTCTGCTTCTCTGCTCGCGGTGCTACACTTCGTAAATCCCTCCAACCGCCTATTTTCCGAAGTTCTCACAACCTTCATTTCAATTAATGGGTTAATTATCTGCAACAACTTTTAAAGAACCAAGCTGGCCGCTTGGTTCTTTAGGCCTGTGTTCACCAACCGCTTGGTGAACATGCAACGTTGGGCAACGTGGGTCCAAAGTTCCATGTTTATATTTAAAAAAAAGCCTCGGCAAAGAGTTTTTTTTTTTTATCCTTGGAGCATTGCATCGTGGCAGTGAAGCGAGGTTCAAGAATGTTTGGCTCCGAGTGGTCTCCATCTGTTTGGCCCTCCAGATGAGAAGCGCTTGGGCAACGGTTCCAATTTAAGAAGTAATGAAGTGTGTCCTGATATGGTTCAAGCAGAGACATGCCGCCTCCTATGCTGCATTGGGCAGTCAGGCCCTCGTGTGCATTGGTGGGAGAAGTGTTGTCTTCACAACGCAATGATGCCTCGTTACTTTTCAGTCCCCCAACATTCTGTTGCCCCCCACCCACAGCTAAGACCAGGCCTATCCCAACCCCTCCCTATCACTCTTGTTTTGCCTGTCATCAACACTACACCATCACTTACATAACCTAAATCTTAATTTCAAATCATTATCGTATGTGCAATTGTATTCTTGCTGTAAAGCGCCTTGGTTAAGGCGTTATATAAATCTAGATCCTGGAATTAAAACTCAACTCTCCGGGAATGACTACGGTAATCTTCCTCGTTTGAAGGAGCATCTTTACGCAGCACCTCCTATATGTACGGTGGTTTGAAAGGCTGATCCTAAACAGGTTACGATGAAGGGGAACGCTGCTCTATATGGGTGCACGGCACATATTCGACTGGCGCATATTTATCTCAGCCAAGTAACCACGCACACCAAGTGCAGTATTGGTGCACGGTGGTGTAACTCATGACTACAGATGTTCACACATGTGACCTTTTCACATAACCGCCCATTGTCCCCAACGACATGGGAGTGACATTGTCCTGTATAGTAAACGGTTACCATTAATTATAACCATCAGCTGGTATTCTTTAATCACTCTTTAAAATGAAATCTCGCAATGTTTGCTACGAGTTACACATACGGATTCATAGTTTCTGGGGGGGAACATTGTGGTGCGTAGGTGGTGTCTATAGTGGCATAGCTGTTGAGTGCACAGGAAAGGAAATGCCTATCACACGATGCCACTACTGGGCCTTTTCAGTTCTGTGTTGTATAAATGTTATGCATTCTTAATGTGCGCTTTACATCCTTAATAATGTACTTGAACATCAAGTGGTACTGTAAATGCAAAATAAACTCCACATTAAAGTTGACGGCACCAACAGAGTTTGAGTTGTGACATTGCCAGTTGCTTTCCTCTAAGAGTGCAGTAAGCCAGTCTGTGTAAGCAATGTTATGGCCGCATCGGATGATGTAGTGCAGACAAGTAATACGTTAATGTTTAGGTGGCATATTTCATGGAAATTATTTGAAGAATTTGTAACTCGCTTAAGGCAGTCCTCGATTTACAAATACCCGACTTACGAACACCCGCACTTACGAACCAGCTTCCATGAAATGTGTTATTTTTTAACCACTGACTTAAAACGCGAACTCTCACTTGCAAATTGAACCGCGGCAACACATTTTGTTCAGCTCCGCGAGATGTAATGAGTCAGCCTCGTGCTTGGAGTGTTTGTGTGTCTGGGTATTTAAATCAGATTACTGTGACGACTTACGAACGGGTCTTAGGAACGAGTTGTGTTCGTAAGTGAAGGACTGCTCTGAAAGTTCGAAACCACCGACAAGAGGGAAGAGGCAATCCAAATTTCACGCCAACAATTTCCAAACTCTGTGGTCCTCTGTGAGGATGTTTGGCCAACGCCATGTATGGGTGACTTAAAGCTTTCGTGACTGCAGGAATTAATATTCTTTGGGGTATCCATATATGGGTGTTTACAGAGCTCCCTCTAGTGGAGGCTCTTCATCTCGCCACCCAGAAGTAGAATTGGATGCACCACCACCAGCAGCTAGACAGTCCGGTGTTTTCTTTACTTATTTTCAGCGGGGAGGCACTTTCACCGATAAGACATCATCAGTGTGAGAGCTGCCACGCATGTGAAACCATTGGGGGGTTTGTCTGCAACACCGTGATGATGATGGGGGGGTGTTTTCACGCGTATTGTCGGGGGCCGCAAGCCAAGGGGGTCGTCAGTGGCCCCTTGAGGCCGAGCAACGACGGACCACACGAGCTCGTCCTCTCGGCAGGTCACATGTGGCGGTGTAAAGTGCAGCTCCTCCCGCCTCTTCCAGAACCGTTCGGCTCAGAGTGAACGAGTCACCCAAATACGAGCTTCGAGGGAGTGGGCTCCCTTCTCGCGGACGAGGGCCAACGTCGCAGCGACGGGGAGGACTACCTGCCACCAACTCTCTCAGATCCATCGGAGAGCTCTCCACCCCCCCACCACCACCTGCCCCCAGCCACCACCACCCCCGGCCACCACCACCCTCGCCCACCACCACCATCCCACCACCACCATCACCACCATCCCACCATCACCACCATAACCACCACCATCACCACCATCCCACCACCACCATCACCACCATAACCACCACCACCATCACCACCATAACCACCACCATCACCACCCACATGTGTTTCCATTGAAACCTAAGAATCGCGAGGCACACTGGGTGTGACGTCAGCCTCCCAGAGACCTCGGCGAGGCTGAGCGTCGGGGCCCGGTGTGGAAGGATGGAAAACCCGGGCGGGCGACAGCGGAACGGAACGGAATGGAGTGCACTCGTTCCGTTTCAAGAGGAAATATAAAAATCGAAACTTCGTGAGTTTTTTATTCTTGGTTGTGGCCGAAACGTCGTGAGAATTGTTTTATTATGTTTAATTTTTATTATTTTATTACTTCCCTTCTACGTGACTTTACCGAAAGAACCAAGAAGATGAATCCCTGCAGTCACGAAAGCTTTAAATCGAAATTTCGTGAGTTTTAGTTTTTTCATATTTTTAATTTTAAAATGTTCTTCTATTTTTATCTACGTGACTTTACCGAAAGAACCAAATAATATAAATATAGAAGCGTTCAGAAGGTTGGGTTTGGGGTTTTTTTTTGTTTGACGTTGCTCAATTGCGTGCAATAATATTTTTTTTCTAAAATAAATGTCAACGAAATGACGGCCTTTAAAAAAAAAAACAAGACAAATTAGGTGAACTTTTAAGTGTGCCAAGATACGCCACTGTGTTAACGTTGTGATCACGCCAATATATGATTTGTTTCCATCTCTATGGGTTTACTAAATGACCCATAATTTGGGTTATTTGGCTGCAATGCCACGGTGTAGTTACTTAATCGCTAGTCGATAACATCTCTGGGTACTCTTTGGTTCTTTCGGTAAAGTCACGTAGGTACAGTATCAATTAAAATAAATCACGAAGTTTCGGGCGCGACACAAGCGTCCATCATCAGGTGGGAAAGCATGGTCAGACTGTTTTAAAAAGTTTGAAAGAACCAAAGAGTTTGGATTTCTGCAGGCACGAAAGCTTCAAATCTCGATGGTTTTTACTCGACGGTCTAGAGGTTGGGGTTGAATGTCCACCAAATGGCAGACACCCACGGCTGATAATAGTGATTATGATGTTGAATTACGACTCAATGTGCAATTTTATTGAGGGGCTGCGCGTGTTGTCTTGGTGTGGTCTGAGATTGTTCATTTGCTACATGGCCCAAGCTCGCATTTAGTGTCGTAAAATCGTACTTATAGACTGTACTTTGTTTTCATTCATTTATTTTTAGTGACTTCCTTAGTGTGTCTATGTTGTACTGCCATCTCTGTTGTTGTTGCTGCAATTGTCCCTGTAACTCGCCAATCCCCCCACCCTCTTACTGGACATCTGTGAACAAAAAAATAGATTTATCTTATCGGAATTCCTGCTCCACCTCCAGTCCAAATAAACAAATCCACTTGATTCTATGAAAAACTAAGAATTTGAATCAAAGTTCCTATGATTACTGCTGTTATATTCTATTTTATAGCTTAAATTTTGGTGATTTCGAAAACATGGTTAAGCCATCTTTCTTGCGGAAGTGCAGAGTTGGCCTGATAAATTGAATGTAAATTGTCTTATGGTTGTTATTGTTTGACTTGCATTACACTGGGATTTTTGCACACAGCGTTGTAAGACGGTGTTTTTTCCTGGAAGATTTGCTGGTTTATCCAGGATGTTTCTGTTGCGCGTCGTCGCTTTAAGATGTTCTCTGTTCATTTTTTGTTTGTTGCGGTTGCACCCGACTCAAGAGCCACATGGCTCACAGGGATATACCTAATAAATGCAACTTGAAAGAATAGGTTTCACCCTTTCTGGCAATCAAACAGGAGGTGTTAGGATGTTCAAACACCAAATAGAAAACATTTTGCAAGGAATCAAGCAGTAACCACACGTACTTGTGGTGAACATGCAAACGAATGTGCTCTGATAATATATGCTTTGTCTTTGAAACTGAATGGGGGGCTGGTGGTGGGGGCTGTGGTGGGGGGGGGACTGTGGTGGGGGGGGCTGGTGGGGGCTGGTGGTGGTGGGGGCAGGTGGTGGTGGGGGGCAGGTGGTGGTGGGGGGCAGGTGGTGGTGGGTTATGGGTTGGGGGGGCTGGTGGTGGGGGGGGGGCTGGTGGTGGGGGGGGGCTGGTGGTGGGGGGGGCTGGTGATGGGGGGGCTGGTGGTGGGGGGGCAGGGGGTGGGGGGGGTGGTGGGGGGGGCTGGTGGTGGGGGGCTGGTGGTGGGGGGCAGGTAGTGGGGGGGGGGCTGGTGGTGGTGGGGGCAGGGGGTGGGGGGCCCTGTATATGCTACGTGCGCTGATTGGCAAAAAAAAGTGTCCTTAACACCAGAGGAGACCAGAGGAGAGACAGCTTTTCGATTCTGACGAACGCCGCACTCCATTCCGTAAAGGAGCCCTAACCGGGTGGGGGGGTGGAGTCTCGGTCCGGGTTTTCGTTTCCTCCCGGGCCCTACTGAGTGTCTGCGGGCGGGTGGGAGGGAGGTAAGAGACGCCACCGTCGAAGCGAGCGGCGAACGCGGCCCCCTCTCACGCTCTCACCTCCTTCATCCACCTTCTTCCTCCTCCTTCCTCCTCGTCCACCAAAGTCGTCCTCCGTTCGACACCGACGACACCATCCGGCGCTGTCGGCAAGAGGTTGCTTATTAAGCTGACGAGCTCGCAAGGGAAACAAACCACAAAAACGACGAAGAGGCTGAAAAAAAACCCGGTAAACATTTTTGAACGCCTCATGCTCGGGTCGACCTTCGGATACTGTCACAGTGTAAGCCCCCCCATCATCATCATCTCTATCATCATTATCTCTATCATCATCATCTCTATCATCATCATCACCAGCAGCAGCAGCTGCAATCGTGTTTAATTGATGTCTCTAGTTGGTTAGAGTTGCCTTCCGAATTTGCTAAAACACGTGAGGTAAGAACGGTGATGGTGATGATGGTGGTGGTGGTGGTGATGATGGTGATGATGATGGTGGTGGTGATGGTGGTGATGATGGTGATGGTGGTGATGTTGGTGATGATGATGATGGTGGTGATGATGGTGGTGGTGATGATGTTGGTGGTGATGATGATGGTGGTGATGGTGGTGATGATGGTGATGTTGGTGATGTTGGTGATGATGGTGGTGATGATGATGTTGGTGATGATGTTGATGATGATGATGTTGGTGATGATGATGATGTTGGTGATGATGATGATGGGGGAGTGAATGAGTGGCGCGAACGGCGATTTTTTTTGGCCGAGGGAGGTCGGAAGCCGCCGACATCGGGAAGTGAACACGTGTTTGACGTGTTTGACGTTTACAACAAACAAAAACCCTGAAACGCTTTCACGTAAGCTTTCGTAACGTCGGTAAGATCATTTTTTGTGTGTGTGTTCATTCATTAACTCATCGCCGGTCGCGTTCAACTTTGTCCCGGTAACTAAGTTTTGTCACGGAAACTTGGGGGTCAATCTGTCTTTTGTTACCATTTGTGGCCGCCCCTTGAAGTTGCCTTCGTCTAAAGACGCAGAGGTCGTCCACACGGCGTCTAAACAAGACCACGCACACTGGCGCTGTTCGCCGTCTGGAGGAGTTGATTTTGTTTATTTGCGACGAAACGGTGGCGTTTGGGGCATGCCCCCCACGTGTTGTTGGTAAGCAGAGTCGTTGGTAACCGTTGGTTACAGTTACCAACGGTAACCAGAGTCGTTGGTAACCGTTGGTTACAGTTACCAACGGTAACCAGAGTCGTTGGTAACCGTTGGTTACAGTTACCCACGGTTACTCTGTAAGCAGTCGTTGGAAACCGTTGGTTACCCACGGTACCAACGGTTACTCTGTAAGCAGAGTCGTTGGTAACCGTTGGTTACAGTTACCAACGGTAACCAGAGTCGTTGGTAACCGTTGGTTACAGTTACCAACGGTAACCAGAGTCGTTGGTAACCGTTGGTTACAGTTACCCACGGTTACTCTGTAAGCAGTCGTTGGAAACCGTTGGTTACCCGCGGTACCAACGGTTACTCTGTAAGCAGAGTCGTTGGTAACCGTTGGTTACAGTTACCCACGGTAACCAGAATCGTTGGTAACCGTTGGTTACAGAGTTACTCACGGTAACCAGAGTCGTTGGTAACCGTTGGTTACAGTTACCCACGGTTACTCTGTAAGCAGTCGTTGGAAACCGTTGGTTACCCGCGGTACCAACGGTTACTCTGTAAGCAGAGTCGTTGGTAACCGTTGGTTACAGTTACCCACGGTAACCAGAATCGTTGGTAACCGTTGGTTACAGAGTTACTCACGGTAACCAGAGTCGTTGGTAACCGTTGGTTACAGTTACCCACGGTTACTCTGTAAGCAGTCGTTGGAAACCGTTGGTTACCCGCGGTACCAACGGTTACTCTGTAAGCAGAGTCGTTGGTAACCGTTGGTTACAGTTACCCACGGTAACCAGAATCGTTGGTAACCGTTGGTTACAGAGTTACTCACGGTAACCAGAGTCGTTGGTAACCGTTGGTTACAGTTACCCACGGTTACTCTGTAAGCAGTCGTTGGAAACCGTTGGTTACCCGCGGTACCAACGGTTACTCTGTAAGCAGAGTCGTTGGTAACCGTTGGTTACAGTTACCAACGGTAACCAGAGTCGTTGGTAACCGTTGGTTACAGTTACCAACGGTAACCAGAGTCGTTGGTAACCGTTGGTTACAGTTACCCACGGTTACTCTGTAAGCAGTCGTTGGAAACCGTTGGTTACCCGCGGTACCAACGGTTACTCTGTAAGCAGAGTCGTTGGTAACCGTTGGTTACAGTTACCCACGGTAACCAGAATCGTTGGTAACCGTTGGTTACAGAGTTACTCACGGTAACCAGAGTCGTTGGTAACCGTTGGTTACAGTTACCCACGGTTACTCTGTAAGCAGTCGTTGGAAACCGTTGGTTACCCGCGGTACCAACGGTTACTCTGTAAGCAGAGTCGTTGGTAACCGTTGGTTACAGTTACCCACGGTAACCAGAATCGTTGGTAACCGTTGGTTACAGAGTTACTCACGGTAACCAGAGTCGTTGGTAACCGTTGGTTACAGTTACCCACGGTTACTCTGTAAGCAGTCGTTGGAAACCGTTGGTTACCCGCGGTACCAACGGTTACTCTGTAAGCAGAGTCGTTGGTAACCGTTGGTTACAGTTACCCACGGTAACCAGAATCGTTGGTAACCGTTGGTTACAGAGTTACTCACGGTAACCAGAGTCGTTGGTAACCGTTGGTTACAGTTACCCACGGTTACTCTGTAAGCAGTCGTTGGAAACCGTTGGTTACCCGCGGTACCAACGGTTACTCTGTAAGCAGAGTCGTTGGTAACCGTTGGTTACAGTTACCCACGGTAACCAGAATCGTTGGTAACCGTTGGTTACAGAGTTACTCACGGTAACCAGAGTCGTTGGTAACCGTTGGTTACAGTTACCCACGGTTACTCTGTAAGCAGTCGTTGGAAACCGTTGGTTACCCGCGGTACCAACGGTTACTCTGTAAGCAGAGTCGTTGGTAACCGTTGGTTACAGTTACCAACAATAACCAGAGTCGTTGGTAACCGTTGGTTACAGAGTTACTCACGGTAACCAGAGTCGTTGGTAACCGTTGGTTACAGTTACCCACGGTAACCAGAGTCGTTGGTTACCCACGGTACACCAACGGTAACCAGAGTCGTTGGTAACCGTTGGTTACAGAGTTACTCACGGTAACCAGAGTCGTTGGTAACCGTTGGTTACAGAGTTACTCACGGTAAGCAGAGTCGTTGGTTAACTGTTGGTAACAGAGTTACCCACGGTAACCAGAGTCGTTGGTAACCAGAGTCGTTGGTAACCGTTGGTTACAGAGTTACCCTTGGTAACCCACGGTGGTGGAAAAAAACCGCACATGGTCAGGAGGACAGGGGACAGGGGACTATCCGAGACTTTGCGACCCCGTAGAGTCACGGCAATCTCGGTTACTACTGTCACCAACCACGACTAACCCCTAGTCCTAACCCCCCCCCCAAAAAACACCCCAACCATAACCCCTAAACCAAATTCCTAAATCATAACCCCGAAACCGACACTCTTAACACCAACATCTTGAATCAAAATGTTTAATTATAACACTGCCACCTAAACCGAAATCCTGGTACCATCCCCTAAACCTGAACCCCAAACCCCCAACCTCTAAATCGACATCCTAAATCATAACACCAACACCTAAACCTGAAACCTAAAACTTAACACTATCCCCTGAATCCTAACCCCAAACTCTAATCGTAAACCCTAAACCCCCAAAACCGTAACCTTAAATCATAACTCCGAAGTCATAAGCTCTATAATCCCTCAATCTAAACCTCTTACACTAAACTATATCCCTAATCCCAAATGAGAAAACACAGCCCTAAACCCCAACTCTTTCACCAAATACTAAACTCTAACCCTGACCACTTAACCCTCCACGAAAAAACTAACGAATCGATCGTCGCTTAATATTCTATCTCCAGAAATATAAAAAGTAGTGGGACTTTGGATCACCAAGCGGCTAAGCACAACTCAAAGAAAGCACTGTGATTTGACATAAATTTGGTCTATGATTGAATGAACATCCTTCGGGGACAGTCGAGTCCAGCATCCTGGTCTCTACCCTGTAAGTATGGGGAGAGTTTTCACTTCCTTAAAGGCTCAGGTTGAAAGAAATACAGGTAGCCCCCGACTTACGGCGGTCCGATATACGATATTTCGATCTTACGATGGCGATAGCGATATGACAAAATTGTTAAATATTTTACATTTCGGTCGGCAGGCAAACGCAGCAGCGTACGAGGTACGATACTGTACGTTGGGACGCTGCCGGGATGTACTGTACGCATATAGTTTATACAGTACGGTACTGTAAATTGCTCTGTTTTGCTAAATTATCACCATTCTTTAAGACGCCTGGGTAAGCGAGGCCATTTTCGACTTACGATATTTTCGACTTACGATGGGGTCGTCGTAACGCATCTCCATCGTAAGTCGGGGACTACCTGTATGACCACGGCAGGTCTCTGTGATCATTGGTGAAGTAGGAACGTAGCAGTAATGACAGAGCCATTCGTTTACCCTGGACAGCCTCGCTGAGACTCGTTTCGGAGGGAGGGTCCTGCTACACTGGGATCTTTGGCCATTTCCATTTGTGAGTTTTTTTTCTCATTTGTGCCAGGAAACTGGGGTAGTGCCTGGAGAAAAGCTCGGTTTAACACGGAGTCGAGTTTTGCGACCAATATTTCAAATAAAGGTTTTTTGGAGGTTAGATCGTGTAAATATAAATGTGTCATAATACGGGATTTCCCCTTTTGTCTGGCAACAAAACTGAAACCTTTTTACAAGGAATCACGTGTGCATTAAACACAATCCTTGTGGTCAAAATGCAAACAAAAAACACACTGATAATCTTCTTGGTTCTTTCGGTAAAGTCACGTAGAAGGGAAGTAATAAAATGATAAAAATAAAACATAATAAAATAATTCTCACGACGTTTCGGCCACAACACAAGCAGCCGTCCTCAGGTGAAAACCAGGTCTGTCAGACGCTGTCGCCTCGACAGACCTGGTTTTCACCTGAGGACGGCTGCTTGCGTTGTGGCCGAAAAGTCGTGAGAATTATTTTATTATGTTTTATTTTTATTATTTTATTACTTCCCTTCTACGTGACTTTACCGAAAGAACCAAGAAGATGAATCCCTGCAGTCACAAAAGCTTTAAATCGAAACACGCTGATAATATTTGAAAAAAAGGGGAAAAACCCGATTGTTATACTTCGGTACTAGCAAAGGAGGTCTAATTATATAAAAGTGTGTAGTTAACCCGCCAACACCCGACAGCCAATTGGTAAAGTTTGTGACGTAAACAAAACTTGCCGATTAGTTACTACGTGAGCACACCACCAGTGTGTTGGAGAGTCAACTCGTAACATTTACAATTTGAGTACGACGTTTAGCAGGTAACTGCAAGCAGCTTCATTAGGTGCTTTTGCCAGAATTGTATTATGGCGAAAACCTAGTCGTCCACATGAGAGGATAACCCTGACGCTATTTAACAGAATGATTCAAGAATCCTTAAACTAACAAAGATAGTGGTTTTGGAGTTTTACAGATCTGTTTGATCCACCAACACTTGCCTCCAAAGTGCCAGGATCACAGGCGTGTCATTATGTTTCACTTTACATGTGCCTGCATTTCCTGTTTTATAATTGATGATAACTACCAGTTTGCAAGGTTTGCGTGCAAGTGGGGCCTGTTCGGAAATATAAATGTGACAATGCTTCATGGAAACAATTGCACTGCAGTGCTGTATTCACTGAAATGACATCACGCTTTCGGGTACCAAACAGAGAAGTACTCGCACTTTTTACATTTCCACATTATCTGTCCACATTGCTACTTTAGCAATCATCGGGCGTCACTGTAAGGCTTGTGAATGTTAAATAAGGCACCATGTGGAGATGAGAGAGATCCAGATGGTTGCTTAAACACCATTTGCAAATTACACCCCCCCCGCCCCCCTGTGTACAGTACTGACGAATATAAATTTACTTGAAGCTGTTTTATTAAACTGGCAGATGGAATAAAAAAAATTTAGCAAAGTAATTTTCTCTGATCCACCTTGGGTCTCAGGTCTCTCCCATGGCAAAATGAAGCTAGTCGGCTGCCTCTCTTGTCGTATAATCAACAAGACAACGTGTGCACATTTCCTTTAGTGGCCCTGAGCCAGATGTGAACATTTCACATTCTCATGGTCACATTCACATCGCGCAAATCACTAAAGGTTGTGTTCGAGGGCTTCGTGCCTTCCTCACCACATCTCGTTTCATGAATGCTCACGGCCCGCTCTCTTAAATGTTTTCCGGGTTGCTGCTAGGCTGGAGTAAGCCCATGCCTGGCCTTCAAGACTGGAAAGATACTGGGCACATTCAGGGTGATTTGATCGTGAATTCATGGTCCTCTCTTGCTGACAGAGTGATGCGGCTTAGTCTCTTAAGTAAATAATGAGGAATGCTGAATGAGGTGCCAGTTTAACTACCACCACACGGAGTTTGATTTGCTCCCTGCATTTTAGTTTCAGGTTTGGTCTCTGCTCCTCGTAGCACGTTTGGTATACAGGTGTGCTGGACGTAGTGCGTGTGTGTGTGTGTGTGCCGACTGGCCAGGCTCGCACGATCATGAACGGCTGCAGCAGCGATGACGCCGGCAGCGATGCAAGCTCCGTCCACTTGGCGCAGCCCCCTCCAGCGCCGCCAACCAAGGAGATGGTGGCGGCGCCGTGTGCAGCCTCCGGTGGCTGTGCCGTGCCGCCGGTCCCCGGGGAGAGCGAGGCAGAGGTGTCGTGTGGAGCCACCGATGTCCCGGCCGCGTTGCCGAGTGCCAACGAGAGAGAATCCGGCAATGCCTCGACCGCCTTGGCCGCTCCGAACGAGGTCCCGACGACTGTCGCCGACGACCCAGCCGGTGCTGACAACGGGGACAGCAACTGGGTGAGAGCGGAGCAAGTGAGAGAAGGAGAGAAGCAGGTGGGAGAGAAGGAGGGAGAGCAGAGGGCAGGTGAGGAGCAGGTGGGTGAGGAGCAGGTGGTAGAGGAGCAAGTGGGAGTGGGAGATAAGCAGGTGGGAGAGGAGCAGGGAGAAATGGAGGAAGAAGAGAAGCAGGAGGAAGAAAATCAGGAGGAAGAGGATCAGGGAGAAGAGGAGCAGCCGGAAGAGGAGCAGCCGGAAGAGGAGCAGGCGGAAGGGGAGCAGGCGGAAGAGGAGCAGGCGGAAGAGGAGCAGCCGGAAGAGGAGCAGGCCGCAGAGGAGCAGGCGGGAGCAAAGCAGGAGGAAGAGAAGCCAGTGGCTGCATCCCCCGCCGCGCGGCTCCAGGGAAAGACGGGCGGCACCAAGAGGGAAGAGCGGCCGGCGAAGGAGAGCCAGGGGAAGGGCGCCGGAGCGGCGGACGTGGGCAAGGGTGCCGAAGCGCCGGCAAAGGATGGACAGCAGTTGTCTGCTGCCGAGAAGAAGAAGGCCAAGGGGCTCGGTACGTCCGCGCCGATTCTCGCCGTGTGGAGCCTTTTCCGCGCTCGGCTATGAACTTTTGTTTGCACGACAGGAATTGTGGGACGGAAGAAATTCGGCTTAGATCTCGCACCGCGCGTGGTACGCGAACTTGGCCGAGAACCGTCCCGCAAGATGACGTCACAGAACTACATTTAAATTCGCTTGACTGATGCGGATGTTTGTGCGCGACTGCTCGAATGGCTTGCCGTGTCCCTCGCAGGCAAGGAGATCACTCTGCTGATGCAAGCTCTCAACGCCCTGAGTACCCCTGAGGAGAAGCTCGCAGCCCTGTGCACCAAGTACACGCAGCTGGTCAGTCTCGGTGGCCCCCCTCACAGTTGTTGCGCCCCCCCCCCCCCCGCCCTTATGTGCTGTTTGCATCATCGCCCCTTCTTTCCCTTGAGCTGAATTTAAACTCGAGCAGCCTGTCGTGAATCCAGAGTACACATCCAGTTGTGTGGGTCGTGGGGGCTATGTGACTATGCCTCACCGCACCGGTAGGTGCGGGTTGGTGAAGGCTGGGAGCGTAGATGTGCGAGCAATGTACGGTATAACAGTGGCTTTTGCTGCACTGCCCTCTGTTGCCTTCCACATCGCTTGACTGCTGCCTGTGACAACCCGGAGTGCATGGTGGTCGCCCTTCCAATCACTCTCCAGGCTTAACCATGCTTATCTTCTGAGAGCTATTGGTTATTATTTTATCATAATTCCTATTGTACTTGTGTGCCCAGGAAAGAGAGCTATCAGGATCGGACGCATTCTGAGTGATCATGACCTCAATAATTTGTTGCGTCATCATTTGTTATTAATATGACTTACCGCCCCTTGTCAATCCACTTCTGGGTTGAGGATACCCCATGCTGTGCTGGCCATGGGGGTTGTTTGGCCGCGCTTTGATCACGGTGATCAGGGCGGGTGACGAAGTGTGGGTGCCCAAGACCGGCCAATTTATTACTTGCCACCAATGTCAGCCGTAGCCGGGAATTGAACCCATGTCGCCTGGTTGCACACCGCCATAACCACTGCCCCACCACCCCCACCATCATGGACACGTGTGTGTCTTGTTTTCAGCCCCTGTGAAGTTGAAGTTAAAAGGCCCGGAGCTACAAAAACAGCCACATGCAGCGATATAAAATCACCGTAGTGATTGTTGTGTTTGAAACGAGCGCATTGGCGTCTTTTTAAACTCGCGCTTGACAAGCTGACGAGCGTTGCCGACACATGCAGCAGGTAGACGGTGACGGCGGTGCCGGTGATTGGATGCCTGTGATACGGGGGTCGCGAGCGTGGCCTTCAAAAGACATTTAAAAAGCAAAAAAAAAATATACACACATCTATAATGAAACATCCCTTGGTCTGACAGGAATGCTGTCAGACCATAGGGACATCAATAAACTCTCACGAATGCGCAGTGGCTGACAGTTGACGGCGTATAGCTGGGCGTGGTGGCACATGGCTGTGATGTTGCGCTTCGGAGGTGGGGGTTTGTGGATCGCGTGTGCGCAAGACACCTGCTTGCCGTGCCACGGAGGTGGCCGGTTGGCTGCAGTACACATGCATGTTAAATTTATTTCGTACCATATGTAGCCAACTGCGCTAATCGGAGGTGCAGGGGAAGGACAACAAACTAAATACAAAATCAGTTAAGTTTTCAGTCTAGATTTAAAAGTGCATAGCTCCAGTGGCTTCCTTATATCGGAAGGAAGAGCATTCCAGACGGCTGCAGAAGCGCATCTGAAAGCACGCGACGCGGTTACCATCTTTGTTCGATGGTCAGCCAAAATCCGCTGCTGCTGCGAATATGAGAGTACAGCTGGTGACAAAAAAGACCAGCCGGGTAACTCTGTGGCTCTTAAAAGGAAATAAAAAAGTAAGTACAGTAAAACCTTGGATTGCGAACATAATTCGTTCCGGAAACGTGTTTGTAATCCAAAGCACTCGAATATCAAAGCGAATTTCCCCATAAGAAATAATTCGTTCCACAACCCAAAAATATTCATATAAAAATTATGAATACAAAATACCTTTTTTTATTTTTATTATTTAAATTTAATATAAAGTAATCAAATGTATTAATTTACATTTAATCGTGGCTGGTGTGAGGGAGAGGAGAGGAGGAGGAGGGTTAATGTGTAGGACGACTTTCACTGTCACTAATGGAATCACTGCAATCTGTTGGCTCACTGGAATCTTTTTCTTTTTGTGCGACTTTAACACGGAACCTATCGAATGACACTTGCTTTTGCCTCCTTTTGAGGAGGCAAAAAGCATTGTTGCAGTACAGCTACTAAAGAACAGTCACTACACTTGGACACAAAATTAAATAAATGCTTTACACACACACACGTGGTCACAACACTATAGTAAACAGTATACGCTCGCACGGATGTTGACTATACGAGTGAGGCACGCCGACTGAGATTGAGCATGGGAGAGGATTACCCACAATCCCGCAGCGACAGAGAGAGAAGAACCATCGGCTCAGTTGTGATCACGTGACGCTAGGCAGACAAAGCGTATACGTACTACTCGTATTGCAAGACCTCGCTCGTTTATCAAGTTAAAATGTTTCGATTTAAAGCTTTCGTGACTGCAGGGATTCATCTTCTTGGTTCTTTCGGTAAAGTCACGTCGAAGGGAAGTAATAAAATAATTTAAAAAAACATAATAAAATAATTCTCACGGCGTTTCGGCCACAACGCAAGCAGCCGTCCTCAGGTGAAGAACAGGTCCCTTCTACGTGACTTTACCGAAAGAACCAAGAAGAAGTTAAAATGTATTTAAAACTTTTGCTCGTCTTGCAAAACACTCGCAATCGAAGGTTTTACTGTATTTGATTTTATTTGATGGGCTGCGCCACCCGCACATTACCGAGGATAATTCAGATAAATAAACTACACCATCGAGTGGGAATGTTTAAAATGTAACCTTGTTGTTCGTCACGGTCTTTTCCTCGACGCGGCTTTCTGTTTTCACTGGCGCCTTTTCGACCTGTGAATGAATAAAAAACTCGCAGACTAAGTTACTCGCAATCCAAGGTTTTACTGTAACAAATTTTCTCGCCGGCCTCCCCGCAGCTGGAGGAGCACCGCGCCACGCAGAGGCAGCTCAAGGGGCTGGAGAAGAAGCACTCGGCGGCGTCACGTGAGCGCGACCACCTGCAGACGGAGCACGGCAAGGCGCTGTTGGCGCGCAGCAAGCTGGAGAGCCTGTGTCGCGAGCTGCAGCGGCACAACCGCACGCTGAAGGTGCAAGCTCGTTCTTTCGCGAATGTTTTATACTTGATCTCGATTCATACTCTTAGTTCTTTCGGTAAAGTCACGTAGGTAAAAAATGAAATTAAAATTAATAAAATAAAAATCACGATGACGGAGACTTGTGTTGCCTCCGAAACGTCGTGATTTTAATTTTATTAATTTTAATTTCATTTTTTACCTACGTGACTTTACCGAAAGAACTAAGAGTATGAATCCTTGCAGTCACGAAAGCTTCAAATCTAGAATTGATCTCGATTATTGTGGTCATTGGCAACCCGAACGACTCAAACAATTATTATCGGGGACCATCAACGGCTCAACGTCACTGTGTGACACGACGCGGGCCAGCTCGCTGATATCCGGAAGTTGCGGTGCGGCGGTGTTGCCCGATGTGCTCTGAAGAACCATGGCCTAAGGTCATCGGTGACTTGGCTGACAGCATCAACTCGCTTGCACGTGAGGATCTGGTTTAACTAAACAAAAAGCTATTTTTATTTTACCAGGGAAGGCCCAATGAGCTGTGTAGCTCTTTATCAGAAGCGACCTGGCTATCACAAGCGATATCTACAGCGAAGCGGCTTATTATCATCACGTGGACATTTATAGAAGGGGCCGAATACTCTAAGTGTGTGATGTTGATTGTAAATGTGGAGGGGAAAACCGGAGGACTCGGAAAATAATCCACGCGACCACGGGGAGAGAGACATGCAAAATGCAAATATACAGCAGCAGGCGTCGGGGTCGGGATCAGACCCACGACCTGCATATCAGGCCGAGGGTGAACCTCGTCCCTGAACATCGTCGGGTTAAATCACGGAACTCGGCGATGGCAGTTTTCATCGTCTGGTTATTTGTGTCATTGCTGGTCTTGAAATAAAGTAAATAAACCAGAGCCGGCCCTTTCCCAGCAGGTGTCCACGTGTGGTGCATGGGCTTGGTCGAAGACACGGAACCGCTGTGAGACGTAACAGTCCGTGAGCCCAGACCAGATATCTCTACTTGTCAGTGCCACCCAGGGTGGCGTAACTTTTATCAGTTCCAAATCCTTCATGTGGACAACGGACAGTGCGTGGTGCGATAACCGTTCGAAATGAGCGAGGTTATCGATATGTATGTTGAACTTCTTTCGTATCGTCCGTAGCCAACCGTGCGAATCGGAGGTGCGGGAGAATGACAACAAACGAAACGAAAAAAGCAGATGTGAAAGTACAAGGTTAAGAGGCAAACTCCTTACATATGTGGATGGTCATGAGAAAGGAAATAGGATCCAACCGTCTGTGTGGGAATCAGATAATTGATCCTATTCTGACCTCTGAGTCGGTATTCTACGGGGGTCAAAATGACAACCTCGCATTGGCACCAATTGAGATCGCGTGTGTTGAACGCCGCGCCCGGATGTGTTTGTGTGTCTTGCGGCAGGAGGAGAATCTCCAGCGAGCGCGGGAGGAGGAGGAGAAGCGGAGGGAGGTGACGGCGCACTTCCAGGCGACGCTGAGCGAGATCCAGGCGCAGATGGGGCAGCACAATGAGCGCAATGCGCGCCTCAAGCAGGAGAACATGGAGCTCGCGGACAAACTCAAGAAGCTCATCGAGCAGTACGAGCTGCGCGAGGAGGTGCGCTGTTCGCCGTGTTGTTACTTTGTATGTGTGTACGTTGAACTTCTTCGGCACCGTACGTAGCCCAACTGTGCTCATCGGAAGGACAACAAGCTAAACACAAAGTTCTAAAGAATTTTGATTGAAAGCTTTCGTGACTGCAGGGATTCATATTCTTGGTTCTTTCGGTAAAGTCACTCCAAGCCTGGGACGTGTCATTCAGACTCTGTCTTCTCGACAGACCTGTTCTACACCTGAGGACGGCTGCTTGCGTTGTGGCCGAAACGTCGTGAGAATTATTTTATTAAGTTTTATTTTTATTATTTTATTATTTCCATTCTACGTGACTTTACCGAAAGAACCAAGAAGATGAATCCCTGCAGTCACGAAAGCTTTAAATCGAAATTCTTCGGCACCGTACGTAGCCCAACTGTGCTAATCGGAAGGACAACAAGCTAAACACAAAAAGCAGTTCTAAAGAATTTTGATTGAAAGCTTTCGTGACTGCAGGGATTCATATTCTTGGTTCTTTTGGTAAAGTCACGTAGAAGGGAAATAATAAATAATAATATAAAACAAAAATTCTCACGACGTTTCGACTGCAACACAAGCAATCGTCTGTGGATTTCACACCTGATGATGATTGCTTGTGTTGCAGTCGAAACGTCGTGAGAATTTTTATTGTTGTATTTTAATATTATTTTATTATTTCCCTTCTACGTGACTTTACCGAAAGAAACAAGAATATGAATACAGTTCTAAAGAAATTCGTTTTTAATCGAGCTTTAAAAGTGCAAAGCTCCAAGTGGATTTCTAATATCGGAAGGGAGAGCATTTCCAGACGGCCGCAGAAGAGACGTTGATGTGAGGTGCTTTTGAGTTGCCGAGGCGCTTAAGCGAGCATCGCCTTACGTGAGCATCCTTTTCCTTGCGTGTCGTTGGGCGCATGCGCCCGTTCTGCAGCACGTGAACAAGGTGTTCCGCAACAAGGACTTGCAGCAACAGCTGTCAGACGCCAAGCTGCAGCAGACCACCGAGCTGCTGGAGGTTTCCGGAGAGCAGCACCTGAAGGAGAAGGAGCTGGTGGGGACTCGCGGCCACACGGCTGTGCTGGAGCACTTACACACACACACACTTACACAAAGATCCCCCGTATAGCCTGAAATAAATGTTGGGGCAAGTGCTGTTAGCGAGCACCTATGAAGGCCGGCATGGCATGCAAGGGGGTGGGTGGCCAGCACCACGCCTGGGCGCCTTTGTCTCCCTAGTGGTGATGTTTACACACAGCACCAGGTATTGATTTTAGGCTGAGTCAATATAGGGGAGGCCCAGGAACAGTTCAGATAATTGTCACCGGTGTTGACCGGAAATTGAGCCCGGGTCACTGAGTTTGTAGCGCAACGCGCTAACAGCTACACTACCGCACCCTATGCATGCACACACAAACGCACGCACGCTCATGTGGTTGTAAGGCTGTACGAATGTATTTCTGTGTAAAGCTCACCGATTTCAGTGACCCACTGACCCCGTCCCTTTGCTTTGCGCTGAATGGCAGCTCATTAAACAAGTGACGGAGACGCAGAGGAGATGCGAGCACATGAAGCAACAAGAAATTCAGCTCAAGCAACAGGTGACGACGACGCTCCTCTCAAACGCGGCATGTGGCATGCAGCGCCTCAGAAATTACATGTGGGGGAGCGGGGCCATGGGACTCTGGGAGCTGATGCAACAGCGGAGCGTTGAGTTGGTTATCATTGAGATCGTGGCGAGATGTTAAATCCCCTCGCCTGATATGGAGGTTGTGGGTTCGATCCCGAACCTGACGCCTGTATATTTAGAGTTTGCGTGTCTCTCTCCCCGTGGTCGCGTGGATTTTTCTCCACGTCCTCCGGTTTTTCCCTCCATATTTAGAAATGTGCGTTTAAGAGTATTTTGCTGCTATAAATTTCCACATGCTAAGCCGCTTCGTTGAGCTATCATTTGTGATCCCGAGGTCACTTAGTTAAACCAGATTCTCAAGTGCAAGCGAGTGGATGGTGTCGGCCAAATCACCGATTGTCTTAGACCCTTGATGCTTCAGAATATTTTGGGCAACACCGCTGCACTGCAACTTCTGGTCATCAGCGAGCTGGACCACGCCGTGCCACGCCGTGCCACGCCATCCCAGTGACCGATGAAACGTTTAGGGTCTCCAATAATTCTTTGAGTGTTCGGGTTGCCAATGCCCACAGTAGTCGAGATGAAATCAAACCGGCAACGTCCGGATCAAGTCCCCATGTCTTTTAAACCTTCCACCTCCACGGCAGCATCCCCCGTGCAATTTGATTACGGGCGACTTTTGAAACGACCATTGCGCAGTTTGAGAGTGCCGAGGGCGGGAGGCAAGTGCCGCTTGCCATGCTGGCGTATCGCGGCGGTTTTATCGGAGCGAGCGTCTGTGCTGCCGTTGCCCCCGCAGTTGGCGCTCTACACGGAGAAGTTCGAAGAATTCCAGGGAACTCTGTCCAAGAGCAACGAGGTTTTCAACACCTTCCGCCAGGAGATGGAGAAGGTGGGGTTGTCGTGCTAACCGTTGGCTTTTCACGCCTGCGGAGTCTATGACGTAGTTGCCACCCACGTATGGAGTCCCCACAGTTTGAATGTTTACCCACAGACCAAAAAATGGCACGAAGCTACAGGTCTGGTACCAAAGTTGATTTTATTTAACCTGTTGAGTTATTAAATTGGTAGGTGGCAAATAGTAGATATGTACAAGTTGAGTTTGTTTCACCGAGTGAGACCTCAACTGACCAGAATTATCCACATTTGCAAGAGGGGAAGTGGGGGTCACCAAAGTGAAACGTATAAATTCTAATTTTTCTTCAGATGACGAAAAAGATCAAGAAGCTGGAGAAGGAAACGAGTGTTTGGAGAACGCGGTGGGAGAGCAGCAACAAGGCACTGCTTGACATGGTGGAAGAGGTGAGTGCTTGTTAGAACCTGTAGCACCTTGTCCAGGGACGCCGCTGTGGCGAGATGTTAACTACCTCACCTGGTATACAGGTCGTGGATTCGATCCAAACCCTGACACATGGATATTTGGAGTTTGAGTGTTCTCTCTGTGGTCGCATGAATTTTCTCCACCCCTCCCCACCCTCCCCACCCAGCCCCTCCCCACCCTCCCCTCTCCGCCCAGCCCCTCCCATTTTTGGATGCACGACGGACGGACACAATAATCCCCTGTGGGCTGGTGTAACCAGGAGGTTCCTACCAGTAAAAGATTAGGCTGTGTTCTGGCATCAAGGCCCCCAAGTTCTGTTAATTACTTGCAAGTCAAAGTGACTTACTTGGGAACACCACACAGCGACACTGACCCCTACTGGCAGACATGATCCACATGCAGGCCTTTACCGCATTCACCTTGCTCTGCACAGGGACAGCTGCTGCCAGGGGTCCCCTGCCATAGGGTACTTTAATCAGGGGGCGGTCTTTGGGCTTGATCTGTGAACCTCTGCAACAAATGGCAAATGCTCAACCATGGCTTCTGTCCTATGGCGGGGAGTTGATCAGCAACGTCTTTGTTCATGTCGAGGTTGGCGAGCGAGCTCGTCTTAGGTTTTTTTGGTAAAGTCACGTAGGTGACTTTACCGGAAAAAACCTAAGAGTATGAATCCTTGCAGTCACGAAAGCTTCAAATCTAGAATTAGTTTACAGCTCCACAAGTAGCCTGGTGAGTATCTTAAACGCTGCCGGTGAGTGTTCAAAGCGGGCAGTGGCATTACGATGTGGTCCATGGTTTGAGGTTGGTGCATGCAGAGCTCAAATGTCGGCTCCAATTGTCATAATGGCTTTGCACGTGTGTACAGAAAACACGGCAGGACCGCGAGAAGGAGGGGCTGAATGCCAAGGTACAGAAGTTGGAGAAGCTGTGCCGCGCTCTGCAAAACGAGCGTAATGAACTCAGCAAGCTCCAAGGCCCTGCCACCGGAGGAGAGGCCTCAAGCGCTGCCGAAGCCAACAGTGCTGCCGCTGATGGTGCCGATGCTGCTCCTGCTGCTCCTGCTGCCACATCAGCCGCCGTCGCTACTCCCAGCAAAGAGAGCGACCTTCCCAACACTCCTCAACCTGACCCCTCCTCTAACCCCGAGGCCAACGGTGACCCCACGCTGGTTCCCACAGTTGGCGAACCACAGCAAACGGTTCCAGCTGAGCTTGCGGCTTCTGAGCCCAAACCGTGCGACCCCGCCGCCAATACCGACCCCAGTGTCCCCGACTGTAAAGCCGACGACTCCAACCTTCAGACCAAACCAACTGACGGGCAGGACAACACTGCCACCGATGAGTTGCCTCAGCCCTGTGACCCTCCCACTGACCAAAGTATCCCAAGGGTAGAGCCTGTGGAAACGGCGGGGCTGGAGCATCAACCCGAACCCGGGGAGATCCAGACATCCTCCGAGCCAGAATCTGGGAAAGCCCAGACATCTTGAGGTCTAACTGGAATGCTTGTAAGAGATTACAAAAGCAAATGTTAAACCAAAAACTGCATACTGAACATGCAGTGTTGTTTTCCGTTTATTTCAAATGTGGTCCCACTGAGCCGTATAATTCCATTATTATTTAAAGACTCCAAATCAGCTTAAGATTATCTGCTTCCTTATGTCTGATGGCACTTGCCGCTTTGGTTTTAGGGAAATGTATTCAGGGCTTGGAAAAAGCAAAATGATCGCGCTTTCAAATATCACTTCTTTTGCTTAAGAACGGTGGACTTAACTGGCGCGCGTGGTGAATGTCTCATATCTAAACATAACCACTACCTCTTTACAGATTCTGTTTGCTATACTTATAAGGGTGGTGGCAGCTGGTCAGGACTGCACCTTTCCCCAATTCAACCATCTTAAATGTAAACTCAGAAGGGACTGCGACAAGGTGCTAACATGCCAGAGTTGACACGAGGCTTGTTTAAACTTTCCGCATCACTGCCTTGTCCACGCAGTAGTGCCACTGACATGCACAAACAAGCACATGCTCACCCCACGAAACGTGCTTCCACCACATTTGCTGTGGGTTGTTCCAAGATCCATTCTGAAAGGTGCACTCATTGTCTAAGCACATCCTTAAGAGGAAAAAAACACTTTGGAGAAACGTGTGGATGTTAAGGTTGGTGCTCTTGCACATCTGTCATTGCCCTGCCTACTGACACGGTCTTCTATTTTGTACCAAGGGTCCTCGTGCGTTCATATTTTACTCGTGAAATTGCATTCCTTAGTTCAATAAAAGATGTTAATCTACTTGTCAAAGCTGCTTACTTTCTCGCGGTCAGGTGACTATAGCTCTCCTGCTTTCTGGTTATAAGGTGGTGTTTATTTTGTCCCATCTTTTCCACCCTACTTCCTGGGAGCTTTTTCAGAAGTGGAATTTAAGCTCCCAGTGTGGACCGAAATGTCGAATCTCAGTAGAAGCCTGGAGAAATTAAGCACCGATGAAATTCCAACTAGCACGTGCTAAAAAGCACCATAATGCTGCCCTTTCCCAATACAATGGCAACCTCTGATATAACACATTGTCCTGCGGAGGGAGCTGGTAGGAACGTTGGGTTGCTCTGTCAATGGCGGCGTGGTGTATTCCGCAAATATGCCCGACTGGGCAGGCACAAGCCGGCGTGAGTAGGTTAAACGTTGAGTTTTAGAAGGGCACCACGGGGTGACCAGCCCCACCCCTCCCATTTTTGGATGCACGACGGACACAATCCCGTGGGCTGGTGTAATCAGGAGGTTCCTACCAGTAAAATGTTTCTACACCATTTTCTTTGGGTCTTTCGGTAAAGTCACGTAGTTTCAAAGAAAATAAAAAAAAATAACAAACTACGTTTCGATCACAACACAAGCGTGATGATGAACGCTTGTTGCGATCGAAACGTAGTTTATTTTCTTTGAACCTATCTGTGACTTTACCGAAAGACTTAAAGAATATTAATTATTGCAGTCAAAAAAGCTTTTTAAGTCAAGATACAACACCATTGTCGAGTCCTTGCTTCTAATAGTAACAATCAAAAATCTGAACTATTCTATTTTGGGTTGCCCCCCAGTATTTCTGGTTGAAATTAGTTCCAGCCTGGATCTCCAAAAGTTTGTATTCGGCTGTTTTAAAGTCAAACTATTAAATGATTTCTCAATTTACGTTTTTTTTATTGATGCAAAACCAACAATCATACATATCCATGACAATAATAAAACTGGCAACACACCAATCGAGCTCCCTGCCCAATTTGAATAAACATAAGTGGAATAAATGTTTTGATGCCTCCGATGGCTAAATTATGGTGTGCTAATAACAAACGTACATCTGCAATCTACCACCTACACTAGCCATATTTGCCCATGAGTTGTAAGAGTTGGGTGGGTGGGTAAACGTTAAGTCGGGGTTTAAATAACAATACGAGGCAAATGTTTGTGAAACACGCACACACAACATTTATTACAGATCAATGGCAACTAAAATAAACTACAGTCACCAGTCTTACAAGCAGCGGCAAAAACAGTACAAGGGTGAAAAAACCGCCAAATTTATTGGGACAACTCTTGGCAAAAAATGTAATGGCCTCCCATCAACCCCCGAAAACGGGGATGAACTCTTTTCTTTGCCAAAATAAAACCTTGCGAGCTCCGTCCCTTCCCGCAGCAGTTGTTTTTATCTGCAGCGATCAAACGTAACTCGCCGCTCCACCTTGGACCCAGAAGAGGAACTTCATGCACACATTTGGACATGTATTTTTTTTTATCAGGGCTATCGGACAAGGCAACTCATTTTCTAGTCGGACAGCACACTGCTGCTGGGGGGGGTGGGGGGCAATGAGGGACAGAGAGGAGGGGGGAGCCACAGTTTGTGCAGGCAAAAGGGGTTCAGGCTTTCGTGTCTACGTCAGCAACGCCAGGTTCGGTATCTTCGTCATTGTAAATGTTCTCCGCCTGCGAAAAAGCACAAAGGGGTGGAACGTCGTGTCGTCATTCAAGTGCTCGAACAGCCACCACCTTCCGCTTGCCAACTTTCGATAATAAAAAATCGTGATGGTCACACTGTTTATTTAACCGACTCAATTGTTAATAACACTGCTCTAAAAAAAAGCAAGATGTCAATATGATAAGCGGCATTTCGGTCAATGCCTAAGAGATAATTTATTATATACATTCCTTTCAAGTAATTGATGTTTTTTGTTTATTATTTTTACTTGTGTACCATTGGTAATGCAATCACACAGTGTTAATAAAACATTTTCACAACCAACTCATCTCAATTCCCATAGCATAGGTGGCAATCCTAATCGAGAAAAATCTCAAGTTGAACATATTTCTTTATATAAATATGAAAACTGCTGGTCAATCGGAATAAAATGCACTCGGCTTATAGGAAGCTTTTTTATGAACAGAGTAACAGTTTTATAAAAGTACTGTTTTTTTCATTTGGACAAAATATACGGACTTAAAAATATCAATGACATTACCACTGTCAGCTATGAAGCAAATGTGACTTAAAGCCTATGATACACCGGGTGAACTTTAGGGCAATTGTCAGATGGTAATGCATTTACTATGAGCATCAGTGGTCACTTGGTAGGGCGCTGACAAGTGACGGAGTTCTGCCTCGCCAATAAAAAACGCTTTACTCAAAAAGCGTCTCATGCAGGATGACTGGTCCAGAGAGCAAAACCTCAGGTAGTCATGGGATATATTATGTAATTTGAACTTGCAATTATAGCGGAGCAGAGGTCAGATTTGCCCATATTTCGGCAACATTTTTCCAATTTAAAATTGTCGTAGTGTACACACTATGGCCCATGAGGGAACTTAAGGGCGACTCACCATTTGCCACACTTGCATGATGTTGTCCTCGGAGACGGAGCATATGACCCACGGTTCATTGGGGTTCCAGGAGAAATCTGAGATCTTGGCCGTGTGTCCACCGTGGACAAACTGAACAGCGCACGGGGGATGCACAGTACTCGCGTTTAGCTGGAGCAAACCTTGCACACTTCACAAATCTCACGGCACACCGATTTGCACGCAAGGCAGTGTGTGTCACACGCAAGGCAGTGTGTGACGCTCCAGGCCTGGAGTTGTCATTCGGACTGTCTTCTCGACGGGCCTGTTCTTCACCTGAGGACGGATGCTTGCGTTGTGGCCGAGGCGTCGTGGGAATTGTTTTGTTGGGTTTTATTTTTGTTGTTTTGTTATTTCCATTCTGCGTGACTTTACCGAAAGAACCAAGAAGATGAATCCCTGCAGTCACGAAAGCTTTAAATCGAAATTTAAGGTCGTACCTCTTGGGACTTCTCTCCACTTGATACAGATTTTTTGCAGTGACAGTTTCACCTGAGGACGGAAGCTTGTGTTGCCTCCGAAACGTCGTGATTTTATTGTTTTTATTTTTTATTAATTTTAATTTCATTTTTTACCTACGTGATTTTACCGAAAGAACTAAGAGTATGTGACCAACAAGCTTTAAATACGTACCAGCAGCTCCGGAGGACCGTCTTCAACATCCTCAGCAGCCTGCTCCTCTCCAATTTTACTGTTGAGGACATTGTAAGGTGGGTTTTAATAAAGGTACAGCCCTGCAATTACTTGTTAACAACACGACTGACAGGACAGGCCTCTACTGCTCGAGGGAGCTCCACAGTACCTCTACGGGCTATATGGCTTACTCATACATGCTCGCCAGACATCACGGAAGAGGTGTCAGTACCAACACACTACCCTGCCACATGCAACCTGCTGACTGTGCTGTACCCATTTATACTGTTGGGCGAACAGAGGCGCCGGAGAGGGGGGATAGAAAAAAATGACCACCATTTCAACTGTCTTGCCGAGAGATGGATTTGAACCGGCACTGTGTGGGCAAATTACACCACAGCAGCATACCTCTTTTCAAAAACATCTCACAAATAAAAATGTAATTGTCCAATTCGAAGATATGTACATTGTGTGTCCATAAAAGTAGATTTGGTACGTAAAAATACAAATCCATTACAATGAAAATGGATCTATTGCAATGAAAATTAAAACAGAAACTATTCCACTTTGATGAAAATAAATCCAACGCAAAAAAGCAAATCCACTGGGATTGTTGGCACCTGAGGTCCCAGACGTTGAGTCTGCGGTCTGTGCCGCTCGAAGCCAAGATGGTCTCGTTGTGAGGCGACCACTGCACCTGTAGACAGAGTGGGGACGACGGCATCACAAAGAACATACGGCGCGCACACACACACCAACACGCACGTGTGTTTGCTTACATTTGGGCCCCAACCCTGTGTGCATGCATCACGATACGTCACTGCTCCCTGCACCAGTTACCGCTCTCCGCACCTGGAAGATTTCGTCACGGTGCGACTCAAAGGAGTGAAGTTTCAATTTCAGGTTCCGGAGATCCCACAGAGCCACGGTCTGATGAAAGAATTCAAAATGATCATGTCAAATGCAAGTAAACCGTAAGCAAAATGTTTAAACCAAACATACCACATCGCTTCAATAGAACTCTACACCAGTAATTAAATGTTTAATGTTGTCTAAGTGTACAACATTTGATCACTCCAGTGCTGTTTAATGGCCTCCCCAAATCATACGGGTCGTGGAGACGTTTGCACAATACTTCACCACACTGCTTCCTATGGATTGGTGAAGATGGGCAGTATTGAATTAATCATTGCAACAATGGATTTTTTTCCCACCTACTACCAAAGGCCCGCAGCATATAGAAAAATGTGTGGTTAGCGGTCACCCATTTAAGCACCATCCAGGCTCAACCTTTCCTAGTTGTTTTCTGTTTGTTGCGGTTGCACCCGATTCAAGAGCCGAATGGCTCACAGGACTATACCTAATAAATGAACTTGAACTAGTTACCCGGATTGAATGAGATCGGGTACGTTGCGGGTACTTTGGTCATGTGCATTTAAAGCGTTAGAGCTTAAATTCAAAACAATGAACCCCAAAGATCATAAAGCATTTTAGAACAAAAAAACAAGTTGCAGTGCTAGCACAAATCAACTTAAGCCAAAGGTGGATTGGAAAAATTAATTGTGGAATGGAGCGATATAAATTGCCACGCGAGCATGGGAAGAGAGACGACGAGAGGGAGCCCGAGACCGCACCTGATCGGCGGAGCCAGTGGCGAGGATGAACTCGCTGTAGGGGTTGAAGGAGAGGCAATTGACCTCGGCCGTGTGTGCGTCCACCGAGTGGCTCGGCTTGGACGTGTTGTTAGACCGTGTGTCCCAGCTGTTCGTGCCACGCACGAACACACACATGCGGCAAAAACACAAGATCGAATTAAGAATAAAGTCTAAACAATCAATTATGTAAGCAAGCAATTACTCTACTGATTATAGCTCCCATTACTCGACCAACTGCATAACACAAAAATTGTTTAAAGAAAGTCCACCACCGAGTAGTGGAGAAAAATCATGGCAGCTCTAAAATGGACCTCATAGGAGGAGTTTCTGATAGCAACAAACCTTTATACTACAATTGTATTTAAAATGGATCAGCTTCACGAGTTATCGTCACAAATCCTACAGTCACAGCCGGACATAGGTAAACACAGAGCTCTAATGTATCAACGTTTCCGTACATCATGAGCTTCTGGTCGTCGGCGACGGAGCCAAACAGCGACTCGTGCAGCAGATGCCAGGAGACGTCCTCCACCACGGCCGTGTGCCCCGTGAAGATGGTCTTGGCCTCCACCACCTTGCCCTCGCGCGGCGTCCCACTGATGTCCCACAAGCACACCGTCTGCCGGGTAGAATCCTTCATTTAAATCAACTCGAGCCCTTTACGTAGCATCAAGTCAAAGCTCATTCAGACAAAATGAATTGGCTATACTGTTGAAAGTGGCTACACTGTGAGAACCAACAAGCCACGGGTTGCATAGGCTGGTTGCATGGAGAGATAACGAGGGGTGGTCATGCAGCCTGGTTGACTCAAACTAGTTGGCTAGAGTTCTGAATTAATCAATATGCGGTAGCATCCCAGGAGCACTCATGTCTGGCTCCGATGACGGGGATGAGTGCTTACGGGCCAATCCCACTTCTGCAGATTGTTTCACTTTCAAACAAAAATAATATTGAAGTTACCAATCAGCGACATCTATATAGAGCCACACCTGAACTGACCCACAAGCCGAGGTTGGGCCAACCCTGTTCTATGCTTATATACTGCGAGTGAAATTTCACTTGACAAATAGGGGGGGCGTGACCCCCATACGGTGAGCTGCGTAGCGCCAATTCGTGACGATAAAAGCTTGAGCTAAGCACAGCTCCTACATACATGGTCGTCGGACGCGCTCAGGAGGTGACCACTCAGGTTGGGGTTCCACGAGAGGCCGTAGCCCTCCTTCTGGTGGCCGCGCAAACGAAGGTCAGGGTTGCACTCTCCGCTGGGGTCTGCAACAGATGGCACGCGACCAACACAGACACCATACATACTGTTACCTCTTTCACACTGGCACATCCAAGCAAAGCTAGCGCAGGGCCAACACGGTATGGGTGGTTTTCCACCGGCTATTTGCCGTGCGTAGCTGGAACCAAACGTAATAGGCTGGCTGCATAAGACATCTTAATCTGGCTCGGGGCCAAGCAGGGCCAGGAGCGAGGGCTAATCCCAACACTGACGCCTGCTGTATATTTTGAGTTTGCGTGTTCTCCCTGTGGTCGCGTGGATTTTACTCCGGGTCCTCCGGTTTTTCCTCTCAACATTTAGAAACATGTGTTTATAGTATTTGGTCCGACACATTTCCACATATGCCACGTCGTTGAGCTGTCATTTGTGGCAATGTCGCTTCTGTAAAAGAGCTATGTAGCTCAGTGGGCATTATCTAGTATAATAAAAAAGTTTAGTTTAATGATACATCCGTGCCCCATATTGTGTTGTGCATTGTACGGACCTGGCACTGATGGGTGCTTGGTGTAGTCAAAGACGAGCACCTCGCTTGTTGGCGTCTTGGTGGCGATGATGTAGGGGTTCTGTGGCATGTACCGTGCTCGATTCACCTCCCCCTCGTGGTTTATTTTGATCTCCACCTCGATTTTTGTTCCCACGGAGCCAAAACCTCCAAACTCTACACAAAGGAGAGAAAATCTTTATTAAAAGCCACACTTAAAGATAAAATTACCACTTGTTTCATTTGGATGTCACGGAAATATGTACAAAATGTGCCAAACAACGTGAAATATAAAAAAAATCTGAAAATAAATTAAAAGGAAGGCATAGAGTTTTGCTAGTTATCACATCATGTCAATATTTGCTGAGCAAATTAACACGATCGCTATTTGCAGCGGTACTTTTTTTCGTTGCAAAATTCTTTTTTTCAGGGCTCTTAAAAAGGCGCCATAAAAGTAGCCTCTCAGATGACGATAAAGAAACTTTTACAACAGGACGAGTACGTGCGATTTTATTGCACAAGGGCAGTCTAAACTCCACGTCTTTGTTCGAACTTTGTCGGTGGAGCATACAATGTCAAATACATGCTACCGGGCATCACTTGGGCAAAAAAATGCATCACTTGATTGGTTTACTCATCTCAGGATTAGAAACAATCTCCCGGCTCTAAATGTTCCGTCAATTATACACACATTGATTTATAGATACCTCATCGATTTATAATTACCCTTTTACTTTCTTCTCAATTAGGCGATTGAAATGTTCTGAAAGCAAACCTAGACGAGTCTATCGGGAGAGCGATTAAAATGTACTACAATTAATATTTGTGGGAAACATGTAAAGACTTTTAATCAAAATGCCTCATGTTATATATCTCTAATTATTTCAGTGCAACATCAACACATAAAGCATCCTATATATTCTAATGGTGTTATCGCCCTTGTTAAAAAAGGAGAAAATTCATGTCGGAACTGCAAAGATCAGCTTTTACGGCCCCAACAAAAAACAAGCCAAATCAATGACCAAAGGTTTCAGTTTAATGTTAACCAGGGCTTTTAAGATCAAAGAACTTGTGGTGTACGACAAACCAAAGCCCAATGACACTACTCTCCTAAAAGACAAGTGCCTGTATTTAAGCCAGATGACAACCAATCTAAGTTACTTTCAGGTGAATAACTTTCAGAGGAATTACATTAATGTGAAAATGCATTGGCAGCGCAAACACAGATAACAAAATATGAATAGATCTGTCAATAACACAACCGTAATGAGGATTAAAAAATATATAAATCCCTTTTCCTACCAAGGACTATTGCCCGAAAAAAACGACGCGAAAAGTCATCGATTGTGAACATCTTTTTCTCTTTAGGGCAGCGTTATAGATGAACGTGTTCAACAATTATTCGTTTGGAGGAACTAAACCACCCGCTGAACATCGCGCGAGCTTCTCCCGAGTTGTGCCAGCGCAGGGTGTGATGCGGGCGGGGAGCTCACCCCCTTTCTCGCTGTCGTAGTGCGAGGCGTCAAACTGGGCGTCGTCGTTGGGCAGCTGCACGCTGGCGATCACCAGGTGGTTCTGCTCGTCGGATGTGTGCGTGCCGAGGATTAAGCGATGGACGCTGTAGTCCTTGCCCTCCGGCCTGTGAGCAGAGTAGACATTCATAGCAATTTCGTACATTTTGTATTCAAGCCGTTCTTATAGCACAATGCTCTCACAGTAAGAGGTTGTTATGGGTTCGATCGCGTAAATGGGGATGGCGCTCATTCAGCAGTGGACTGACAAGAGCTGTGCAACGGACTGGGGCGGTGCGCATACCGGGTGACGTCGGGAAGCCACTGGGCGGTGAGGCTCGGCCACTCGAGAGCGTGCGTCATCACCAAGTCATACAGGAACGGTGTGTTCTTCTTCCAGATTTTGTACTCCTCATTGATGACACGCTCCTCCACCGCATCGTCCATCGCCACTGTGGGGGCCAACAAGAGACAGCAAGGTACACGCAATGACACACTGTCCGTCAAGTAACAATGCATCGACACTAGCTACTATAGCATACATACATATGTTGCGTATGAAATGACGATGCTGAGACAGGTCTTCAGGTAAGGGCTTGCGCCGGTTTATTAACAAGGGTTGGTGGCTGGTGACAACTTCCACCAGAGGTAGGTGTCCTACACTCGGTCCTTCACGTGGACCCTCAGCTCTGTCTGTCCTTAGCCTCTGTTATCTCTTGGGCTCTCTCACTCGAGTCGGATCGGGGGTTCAGCCAACACCGACCCACTGAGGAAAGAGCAGCACCTTCTACAACTACAGCCGGCTTCTCTCCAGACTCCCTGAGCTCTACCCCTCTGACTGTCTCTTCAACCTCTCTCCATCCCAGGCTCCCACAACGACCCCGCTTTCGTCACAGCCCCCCCTCCTTAAGTACCCCGAGGAGACATGACGTCATCGCACCGTGCGTATGACGTCACGTCTCCATACTACTCCTCTACACATATGTAGACAAGAGATAAACGATAAATACTTGGGTTTATGATGGTAGACTAGCCAATTCAAACTAGATTCGAAGCCTTCGTGACTGCAGGAATTACTCGTTGGTTCTTTCGGTAAAGTCACGTAGAAAATAAAATGGCTAACTCAAATATGTAAACAAAACAATGCAGAAAAACTATTTAAAATTATTACAAAAGCATGTGTCATCATTATCAGGCATAATCAACCCGCAGCTGGATGATGCCCCCCCCACCAAGCCATCACTATCTCTCTGTCCTTGGATTAGCAATCCACCCAGTGTCTGGTTTCACCACTATCTCTGCGGTGGACGCTCTCCGTAATATTTTATTTCACTTGGCTGCCATTCGTCTTGACCACCAGCCATCACCGATTCTATCAACGTGTACTCCCCACGCCCAATTACTTTTCTTAAAAGTGAAAATGACATCTCAATTTAGGGCTATGTTCTTTAATCTATGAATTCCTCTTTTTGCCTCTTCGGAAAATGTTTCAGTAATTGCACAACCACCAACGACCAGCAGACACCACCACCGTCCATAAACAGCAAGTGGCACACCGCTTGTTTTTTCAATACATTTTAGCCAAATAATTAATACTCCATACTTCACCATGCTGATCAGTTGGGGGTTGGTGCCCGGGGGTGCAAGTATCGATTCATATATCATTCCCGCCAATTAACTTGTAGCCAGTTTCATAGTGCCAATGCGAGGATGCCCGAAATAAACGAATTCACGCGTAAAGAGCAACCACTTTAACTTTTCATAATTGACTTTGTGGGTCAGATCACGTAAGTAAAATGCGTGTCGTTAACCCAATTCCATCCGACGCAGCCAATTAGTAAACAATTTTGTCGTGTGAACGTGACAATTTCACACATTTTCGTTATTCAATCGGAAAGAGAAAAAAACTATAAATTATCATATCGGTCGCGAAAGCCGACGTGTTAAATATACTTAAACTTGGTTATAAGTCAATCCGCTTAAAACCAATAAGAGACAGAACCATTTGCCTTGCCTTGACTTACATAAGAGGCACCTTCGTTAGACTTAACGAGCATCTGGGTGAATTAAATTACTTCCTACCCTCACATAGCCACGGCCTTGACAGTCTTTGGTGGTCTCATATGACGAGAGAACACCGCGTGTGTGTGTGTGCGGGTCAATTACAAGAGCGTGGGTCGAGTTTGTACTTAACACACGGCCATAAACCATCACAACGCGGGAGTAGGCGGCGGGTTTTCATAGGCATTAACCCAGTGGAGGATTGATAATGACTATTCTTAGGTTTTTTCGGTAAAGTCACATAGGTAAAACATCAAAATTAATAAAAATAAATAAATTTTGATGTTTTACCTACGTGACTTTACCGAAAAAACCTAAGAATATGAATCCTTGCAGTCACGAAAGCTTCAAATCTAGAATTGATAATGACTGATGATGATAAACCACACACTACTCAAAACTACCCCGAATAAAAATATGTAGAAACCCTATCGCATTTCATCATAATCATCATCATTAGCCAAGGTCAATCCACTGCTGAATGAAGGGCCCCCTCTAGCCATTACGTATCCCGCTCAATCTTACTTATCCTTCAGTCAATGTTATATTTTAACCAGCGCATGAGCTTCTATCACATTTACAGGCGACACAGAAGCAAGCGAATTATTAATCGGACGCCGCTAAAGGTTGCGCGAATCTGTGAGGGTGGCTAACTCCACATTCCTAGGACGGGACCGCGTTCGGTCACGGAAGGCGGGCGAGCATTGACAGCCGCGCTCAAAACTCAACAACGAATCGCGAATGGCCATAAAAGCGTTGCTAACACAATTACCGATAAGACAAACGCGAAACTTTAATATTCGCGCTTTACGATTTAAATAAAAACTCTGCGCGGCGTGCGGCCTACGCGGTCAGGCTGCGCGCACTGTACCCTCACACCGCGCGCAACTTGAGGGACGGCGACGATTTTTTTCGGCAAAAAAACCACGCCGCGACATCGAAATCAATTAGAAGGAGCGACCGCGGTGCGACTGCCGGCGAGGAGACGCCGTGAGATGGCGACACGGTGAGAGGGAGGCGAGAGCCGCTTACCTTCCTTGTCCGCCATGGTCGCGGGTTCGCGGGAAAATTTCTCCTCTTTGTCCCGCCACGCGCGCGGGGCGGAAACACGCAACGCGCATGCGCACACGCACCGCGGAGGCGAGGGGGGGCTAGGGGGGAGGCGGAGAATGGGGAAGAGAGGCGGGGTCTCGCGAGACAAAGAGGAGGGGCATATGAAAAAGGGGAGGGGCACACGAGCAAGTGGGAGGGGTTCCAATGAAAGGGGAGGGGCATACGAGAAAGTGGGAGGAGTTTCAGTGAAAGGGGAGGGGCTTACGAGAAAGTGGGAGGGGTTTCATTGAAAGGGGAGGGGCATACGAGAAAGTGGGAGGGGTTTCAGTGAAAGGGGAGGGGCACACGCGAAAGTGGGAGGAGTTTCAGTGAAAGGGGAGGGGCACACGAGAAAGTGGGAGAGGTTTCAATGAAAGGGGAGGGGCACACGCGCAAGTGGGAGGGGTTTCAATGAAAGGGGAGAGGCACACGAGAAAGTGGGAGGGGTTTCAATGAAAGGGGAGGGGCACACGAGAAAGTGAGAGGAGTTTCAATGAAAGGGGAGGGGCACACGCGCAAGTGGGAGGGGTTTAAATGAAAGGGGAGAGGCACACGCGCAAGTGGGAGGAGTTTCAATGAAAGGGGAGGGGCACACGAGAAAGTGGGAGGAGTTTCAATGAAAGGGGAGGGGCACACGAGAAAGTGGGAGGAGTTTCAATGAAAGGGGAGGGGCACACGAGCAAGTGGGAGGGGTTTCAATGAAAGGGGAGGGGCACACGAGAAAGTGGGAGGGGTTTCAATGAAAGGGGAGGGGCACACGAGAAAGCGGGAGGGGTTCCAATGAAAGGGAAGGGGCGCACGAGCAAGCGGGAGGGGTTCCAATGAAAGGGGAGGGGCACACGAGAAAGTGGGAGGGGTTTCAATGAAAGGGGAGGGGCGCACGAGCAAGTGGGAGGGGTTCCAATGAAAGGGGAGGGGCACACGAGAAAGCGGGAGGGGTTCCAATGAAAGGGGAGGGGCGCACGAGCAAGCGGGAGGGGTTCCAATGAAAGGGGAGGGGCACACGAGAAAGTGGGAGGGGTTTCAATGAAAGGGGAGGGGCACACGCGCAAGTGGGAGGGGTTTCAATGAAAGGGGAGGGGCATACGAGCAAGTGGGAGGGGTTTCAATGAAAGGGGAGAGGCACACGAGAAAGTGGGAGGGGTTTCAATGAAAGGGAAGGGCACACGAGCAAGGGGGAGGGGTTTCAGTGAAAGGGGAGGGACACACGAGAAAGTGGGAGGGGTTCCAATGAAAGGGGAGGGGCACACGAGAAAGTGGGAGGGGTTTCAATGAAAGGGGAGGGGCACACGAGAAAGTGGGAGGGGTTTCAGTGAAAGGGGAGGGGCACACGAGAAAGTGGGAGGGGTTTAAATGAAAGGGGAGGGGCACACGAGCAAGTGGGAGGGGTTTCAATGAAAGGGGAGGGGCACACGAGAAAGTGGGAGGGGTTTAAATGAAAGGGGAGGGGCACACGAGCAAGTGGGAGGGGTTTCAATGAAAGGGGAGGGGCACACGAGAAAGTGGGAGGGGTTTCAATGAAAGGGGAGGGGCACACGAGCAAGTGGGAGGGGTTTCAATGAAAGGGGAGGGGCACACGAGAAAGTGGGAGGGGTTTCAATGAAAGGGGAGGGGCACACGAGCAAGTGGGAGGGGTTTCAATGAAAGGGGAGGGGCACACGAGAAAGTGGGAGGGGGTTCAATGAAAGGGGAGGGGCACACGAGAAAGTGGGAGGGGTTTCAATGAAAGGGGAGGAGCATACGAGAAAGTGGGAGGGGTTAAGAGGGGACGGGCGCGGGGGGCGGGGCGAAGTGGGGGGGGGGGGGATTGGAGGACGAGGGGAGGGGTGGCTAATTGCTAAGGGGGCTATGTGGTTAGTGGTGAGTGGGGACTTTCAGGACGAGTAGAAAGTCAACTCACCCTCTAGAGTGGGAGATAGTGGTGGGGGGCTCTTGAGAGAATGGGATGAGTCAGGGAATATTGTTTAATGGGGTTATTTGCACGTCCAGGGTGAGTACGCATGGGCTAGTCTATGTGGTGGTGGGGATGAGAGGGGAGTTGAGTGTGCTTCAGGGCTAGTCGTAGGGGTGAGTGAGCAAACAGGGGAACTTTTGGGCTAATGGGGGCTGAAGTGGAAGGGATGGTGAGCTGGGGCGCTTGTGGATTACTGGGTTGTACTATGGTATGGTGAGAATTATAAGTTTGTTGAGCTTGTAAAGACACTGAATTGGGTACTGTCTAGGCAAGTGTGAGCAAGTGAAAAAGCTGGTAATTGGTCTTTGGGGCCGTCCATAAATGACGTCACGCACCTAGGGGCGGGGGTCAGACATTTGTGACGAGGGGGGGGTTAGAAATGTGACGTCACATCAAAATGCGCAACATTAAATAAATATTGATAACACGTTATACTTAATTACATATACTTTTAAATAAATATTTTCTCCTACAACTTCAGAGTGCAGCGCCACATTAAATACGCACTACAATGACAATAGTTTCAAGCGATTTGAAGCATGTTTTATTTTTTTGGGGGGAGGGCAGAGCTTTGTGACGTCATATTTGAGGGAGGGGGGGTCTGACTTTTTGTGACGCCGTGTGACGAGGGGGGGGGGTTAAAATCGTCCAAAATCGCGTGACGTCATTTATGGACGGCCCCTTTCGCTAATCGTGGTTGTTCCTAATAAGGCACTGTTATAGCTAACAGATGACTTGGTAGTTTGGGTTATGAGAACACGCCACAATGATTCAATGAATTACGGTATCATGATTCTGTGGAAAATATGATCTTAATTTGTTTGTGCTGTAGTGAAAGTGCAATTAGTCCTGACAGGGGAGTTTAGACTACACATTACACATGTGCTTTGTATTATCAGCGTGTTAGTTTTATCCGAGCCATCCTTCACTCGTATCGATTGCCTTGGATAAACGAAAATTAACTGAATTTAAATGTTTCCATAAGTGAAAAAAATTACGTATCTCGATTATTCATATACAGTATTCTTAGTTCTTTCGGTAAAATCACGTAGATAGAAAAACTAAATAAAATTCAATAAATTAAAATAAAAGCAAAAAAAGGGCAACCACGACGTTTCGATCGCAACACAAGCGGTCTTCATCAGGCGGAGAGAAAAGAGGGAACAAGCCTCCAAACGCAACTGCCCTTTTTTGCTTTAATACAAAAACAATTCTATCCACGTTACTTTACCGAAAGAACCAAGAATATAAATTCCTGCAGTCACGAAAGTTTTAAGTCAGTTACAGTTCTTTAGTACCATTACCTCCAAGGTATTCCCATGGTTAGCATACCGGACTGGAAATTCATAACGTGGCCCGTTTGATCGATCTCCCGGTGCGGCAGTTGAGTATAAATGGTCAACGATTTTTGGGTTTAGATCGCGTTTATTTATAAATGTGTCGTAACCCTCCACCACCCGACACGGCCAATCAGTAAAAAATGTGTCACGTTGACAAAGACAAATAGTTCACTGCTTTAGCCCACCGGTGTGTTGAAGCAACAACATTCACAATTGTGAATGTTGTTGCTTCACAATTGTGAATGTTGTTGCTTCAACACACCGGTGGGCTAAAGCAGTGAACTATTTGTCTTTGTCAACAACATTCACAATTGTGAATGTTGTTGCTTCAACACACGGGTGGGCTAAAGCAGTGAACTATTTGTCTTTGTCAACGTGACACATTTTTTACTGATTGGCCGTGTCGGGTGGTGGAGGGTTACGACACATTTATAAATAAACGCGATCTAAACCCAAAAATCGTTGATTATGAATAACATTGGTCGCGAAAGCCTACGTGTTAAACTGACTCACCCCACCACTCACCACTCACCTCACCACTCACCACTCACTCACCTCACCACTCACCTCACCACTCACCACTCACCTCACCACTCACCACTCATCTCAGCACTCACCTCACCACTCACCACTCACTCACCACTCACTCACCTCACCACTCACCTCAACCCACCACTCACCTCTGGTTTCACGCTTCAACACACCGGTGGGCTAAAGCAGTGAACGACTTGTCTTTTGTCAACGTGACACTTTTTTACTGATTGGCCGTGTCGGGTGGTGGAGGGTTACGACACATTTATAAATAATTACGTGATCTAACCCTAAAACGTTGATTATGAATAATATTGGTCGCGAAAGCCTACGTGTTAAACTGACTCACCCCACCACTCACCACTCACCTCACCACTCACCACTCATCTCAGCACTCACCTCACCACTCACCACTCACTCACCACTCACTCACCTCACCACTCACCTCAACCCACCACTCACCTCTGGTTTCACGCTTCAACACACCGGTGGGCTAAAGCAGTGAACGACTTGTCTTTTGTCAACGTGACACTTTTTTACTGATTGGCCGTGTCGGGTGGTGGAGGGTTACGACACATTTATAAATAAACGCGATCTAAACCCAAAAATCGTTGATTATGAATAACATTGGTCGCGAAAGCCTACGTGTTAAACTGACTATAAATGGGTTCACCAGTAAGTCTATCGCAGGTCGCTTGTGGTGGAGTAAAGTGTGGGTCACGTGTGGTGAAGTGTGGGTCACGTGTGGTGGGGTAAAGTGTGGGGGTACCCCTGACCTGTTCAAAGTTTACATTTTTGTTTGGGTGAAAACTCAAATGGCCAAAATAACAAAAGTAAAAAAAAACAAAGTAGAGCAATGAAGCAAAAAGAAATGGCCAAAAAAACTGCATCACACGAGACATAGAAAATATTGCAGAGACATAAAGACATGTTAAATAATACATCCCCTACAGCGCAAGTTGGCTCGGGCAGATTATATTTAAACTGGTCGTGATCAACCCTCCTTTTTTTTCTAATTACAAACCTTAGTTAAAGAAAATCAGAATGATACTGTACTGTATGTGGTTACTGTTGTGCTAATATGTAGGCAGACACAAATGTCAAATGCCAGGAGTCTGTCCAGGGTGGAATATTCGGCCAAATACCCAGTAGAGGAGCTCTAGAGCTCCCACGAGTTTAACAGGAAGGCTTTCGCGACCAATATCATCCATGAGATAGCTCTCACAAGCTATAGTTCTTGACTTAAAACTTTCGTGACTGCAGGGATTCATATGCCCCCCATACCACTCACCCCAGCTCTGCCAGTGTCGGGGCTTTCTCCGACATTAACATTAGCTGCCCCCCCCCAATCTCTAAACCTTTATAAACAGTTTGCCTTCAGAGGCTAACCTCCCTGTTCCTGATGACGACCGCTTGGGTTGCGATCGAAACGTCGTGATATTTTGAATAACTTTATTCATTTTTCGATTTAAAGCTTTCGTGACTGCAGGGATTTATCCTCTTGGTTCTTTCGGTAAAGTCACGTAGAAGGGAAATAATAAAAGAATATTTTTTTTATAAATTATATTTACTTTTTTATCTACGTGACTTTATGGAAAGAACCATAGAATAAGCGAGAGGTCCTTCCGCCAAGTGGCGTGAGCAGGGAATTGCAGGGGACTGCCTCTGGCTTCTGTATGTGCTATAAAGAAGGCCCATTGGCCGAAACGTCGCCAATTTTATTTATTTTAACACTTAGGCTTTCGCGACCAATATTATTCATAATCAACGTTTTTGGGCTAGATCGCGTTATTTATAAATTTGCCCGATGATGCTGGATGAAATTACCAGTGAAACGTCGTACTCAAAAATTGTAAATGTTGTGGTTTCAAGCTTCAACACACCGGTGGGCTAAAGCAGTGAACTACGTGACACTTTTTTTTTTGCTGATTGGCCGTGTCGGGTGGTGGAGGGTTACGACACATTTATAAATAACGCAATCTAACCCAAAAACGTCCATTATGAATTTTATTCATGATTAATATTATGGCCACACTGACGACTGTGTTGCATTACAGCGCTTTGATATCCTTGATGAAAATCGAGATATAAATGAAAATTTTTTTCGGGGGCAGTTGCAGTGCTGCGCCTTTATCCTTTTATATCGGCTTGGTGGGGAGGGGGGGAGGGGGTGGGGCCACGGCACATCCGGGTCCCCCGGCGCGGGCGGTGACGTCACGCGCGTGACGCTCGCTCCAAAATGGCGGCGGAGGCGTCTCGATGCTGAGGGAGGCTCGTGAGCTTTGGCCGAGACGACGACTACAACAACAACAACAACAAACAAACAGCTAAATAAACAACAACAAACAGAGCAGAAACTGGCGACGAGCATTGCAAAGCGGCGCGCTAAGGTAGTCGCGTCAGCGCAAAGCAGCGCGCTGTAAACGAGCGGTAGCCCTCCGCTGTTCAAGGCAATGCTGGCGGGTTGAAGCGGCGCTGAAAAGATTTTAGATTTTGTTTCCCAAGGCGGTGTTTGTTGTTGTGTGTGTGATTTACAACCGCTGCAACAACAACAACAGCAGCACTGCTAGCGGCGTCGGCAGACAGGGCGAGGAGGGGTTAAAACGGCGGAGGCGCCGTCATGGAGGGGATGTCGTTGAGCGAGAGCGAGCAGAGCTACTACGCCGAACTCTTCGGCTACTGCGACGTGGACAACACGAAGAAGGTGGCCGCGTGGAGCCGCGTGAGCGAACTCTTCAGGGCCTCGCAGCTGCCGCCTGACGCCCTCCTGCAGGTGAACCGGGTGGGGTGGAGGGTGGCGTGCTGGGTGGAGGGGGGTTGTAGGGGGTGAGTGGTAATGGGTGAGTGGTATGGGGTGAGTAGTATGGGGGGGGGTGAGTGGTGTATGGGGGTGAGTGGTATGGGGTGGGTAGTATGGGGGTGAGTGGTGTATGGGGGTGAGTGGTGTATGGGGGTGAGTGGTGATATGGGGGGTGAGTGGTATGGGGGGTGAGTGGTGTATGGGGGGTGAGTGGTATGGGGGGTGAGTGGTGTATGGGGGGTGAGTGGTGTATGGGGGGTGAGTGGGTATGGGGTGAGTGGTGTATGGGGTGAGTGGTATGGAGGTGAGTGGTATGGGGTGATGTATGGGTGATTGGTATGGGGGTGATTGGTATGGGGGTGATTGGTATGGGGTGAGTGGTGTATGGGGTGAGTGGTATGGGGGTGAGTGGTATGGGGGTGAGTGGTATGGGGGTGAGTGGTATGGGGGGTGAGTGGTATGGGGGTGAGTGGTATGGGGGGTGAGTGGTATGGGGGGTGAGTGGTATGGGGGGTGAGTATGGGGGGTGAGTGGTATGGGGGTGAGTGGAGTGGTGTATGGGGGTGAGTGGTATGGGGAGTGAGTGGTATGGGGGGAGTGGTATGGGGTGGGTGGTATGGGGGTGAGTGGTATGGGAGTGAGTGGTATGGGGTGAGTGGTATGGGGAGTGGGTGGTATGGGGGGGTGAGTGGTATGGGGAGTGAGTGGTATGGGGAGTGAGTGGTATGGGGGGGTGAGTGGTGTATGGGGTGAGTGGTATGGGCGTGAGTGGTATGGGGGAGTGAGTGGTATGGGGAGTGAGTGGTATGGGGTGAGTGGTATGGGGGGTGAGTGGTATGGGGGGTGAGTGGTATGGGGGGTGAGTGGTATGGGGGGTGAGTGGTATGGGGGTGAGTGGTATGGGGGTGAGTGGTATGGTGGTGAGTGGTATGGGGGTGAATGGTATGGGGTGAGTGGTTTGGGGGTGAGTGGTATGGGGAGTGAGTGGTATGGGGGGTGAGTGGTATGGGGGGTGAGTGGTATGGGGGTGAGTGGTATGGGGGGGTGAGTGGTATTGGGGTGAGTGGTATGGTGGGTGAGTGGTATGGGGGTGAGTGGTATGGGGGAGTGAGTGGTATGGGGAGTGAGTGGTATGGGGTGAGTGGTATGGGGGGTGAGTGGTATGGGGGGTGAGTGGTATGGGGGGTGAGTGGTATGGGGGGTGAGTGTATGGGGGTGAGTGGTATGGGGGTGAGTGGTATGGTGGTGAGTGGTATGGTGGTAAGTGGTATGGGGGTGAATGGTATGGGGTGAGTGGTTTGGGGGTGAGTGGTATGGGGGGTGAGTGGTATGGGGGGTGAGTGGTATGGGGGGGTGAGTGGTATGGGGGGTGAGTGGTATGGGGGGTGAGTGGTATGGGGGTGAGTGGTATGGGGGGTGAGTGGTATTGGGGTGAGTGGTATGGTGGGTGAGTGGTATGGTGGGTGAGTGGTATGGGGGGTGAGTGGTATGGGGGGTGAGTGGTATGGGGGGGGTGAGTGGTATGGGGGGGTGAGTGGTATTGGGGTGAGTGGTATGGGGGGGTGAGTGGTATGGGGGGGTGAGTGGTATGGGGGTGAGTGGTATGGGGGGGTGAGTGGTATGGGGGGGTGAGTGGTATGGGGGGGTGAGTGGTGTGGGGGGTGAGTGGTATGGGGGTGAGTGGTATGGGGGGGTGAGTGGTATGGGGGGTGAGTGGTATGGGGGGTGAGTGGTATGGGGGTGAGTGGTATGGGGGGTGAGTGGTATTGGGGTGAGTGGTATGGGGGGGTGAGTGGTATGGGGGTGAGTGGTATGGGGGGGTGAGTGGTATGGGGGTGAGTGGTATGGGGGGTGAGTGGTATGGTGAGTGGGTGAGTGGTATGGTGGGTGAGTGGTATGGGGGGGTGAGTGGTATGGGGGGGTGAGTGGTATGGGGGTGAGTGGTATGGGGGTGAGTGGTATGGTGGTGAGTGGTATGGGGGTGAATGGTATGGGGGTGAGTGGTATGGGGGTGAGTGGTATGGGGGGTGAGTGGTATGGGGGGTGAGTGGTATGGGGGGTGAGTGGTATGGGGGTGAGTGGTATGGGGGGTGAGTGGTATTGGGGTGAGTGGTATGGTGGGTGAGTGGTATGGGGGTGAGTGGTATGGGGGAGTGAGTGGTATGGGGAGTGAGTGGTATGGGGTGAGTGGTATGGGGGGTGAGTGGTATGGGGGGTGAGTGGTATGGGGGGTGAGTGGTATGGGGGTGAGTGGTATGGTGGTGAGTGGTATGGTGGTGAGTGGTATGGGGGTGAATGGTATGGGGTGAGTGGTTTGGGGGTGAGTGGTATGGGGAGTGAGTGGTATGGGGGGTGAGTGGTATGGGGGGTGAGTGGTATGGGGGGTGAGTGGTATGGGGGGTGAGTGGTATGGGGGTGAGTGGTATTGGGGTGAGTGGTATGGTGGGTGAGTGGTATGGTGGGTGAGTGGTATGGGGGTGAGTGGTATGGGGGGTGAGTGGTATGGGGGGTGAGTGGTATGGGGGGGGTGAGTGGTATGGGGGGGTGAGTGGTATTGGGGGTGAGTGGTATGGGGGGGTGAGTGGTATGGGGGGGTGAGTGGTATTGGGGTGAGTGGTATGGGGGGGTGAGTGGTATGGGGGGTGAGTGGTATGGGGGGGTGAGTGGTGTGGGGGGTGAGTGGTATGGGGGTGAGTGGTATGGGGGGGTGAGTGGTATGGGGGGTGAGTGGTATGGGGGGTGAGTGGTATGGGGGGTGAGTGGTATGGGGGGTGAGTGGTATTGGGGTGAGTGGTATGGGGGTGAGTGGTATGGGGGTGAGTGGTATGGGGGTGAGTGGTATGGGGGGGTGAGTGGTATGGGGGGTGAGTGGTATGGGGGTGAGTGGTATGGGGGGTGAGTGGTATTGGGGTGAGTGGTATGGGGGGGTGAGTGGTATGGGGGTGAGTGGTATGGGGGGGTGAGTGGTATGGGGGTGAGTGGTATGAGGGTGAGTGGTATGGGGGTGAGACCCTGCAGCAGGGGAGTGCGGGGTTGTCATGGTATCCTTGCAGCAGGAGAGGGGGGTCACTGCTGCAGCTGAGGGTTGTGGGCCCCCGTTCGCAAAGGAACCTCTGAGAGGCTGTTGAGGAAGAAGGTGATCTTAGGGATGTCACGTTTTTCCTGTTGCAGGTCAGCCTTGGTGACAAGAGTATTGAGAAATTTCTGCTGCAGGACAATGATTTAGCAACGTGTCCCTGCTGCAGATGAGGGAAGGTGTTGTCCTGTGCGTGAATGTCATTGTTATCGCGTCTCATTGACGTTCCTGTTGCGGGTGAGAATGGGTTTGCGACTTTGTGAGGCGCTCAAGGTTCCTCGGCTGCAGGTGATGTATCCCTGTTGGCGATACTGTAGTCTCTTTGGGCCATGCTGTCCTCCACTGCAGGTGTTGTGGGATGTCCTTGCTGCAGGTGCCGCAGGTTACGCTGTTGGTCATGGTGTCTGCTTTCGGTGATGCCCGGTGTCCCCGTTGTATGTAAAGTTATTGGTGAGGGTGTCTGCCGCAGGTAATTCTGGTAGATTGCTGCAGGCGATGTTGCTTGGTTGCATTTGAGATCGGTTGTCGCTCTGCAGGTGAGGCTTGACGTTGTGTTGGTCCTGTGGACTGTTGCAGGCGACTTGGTTATTGTCTCTGCAGCAGTTTGAGACTGTTTGGTTGTATGTATGTACTGTATGTTTGTTGAACTACTTTCGCACCGTACGTAGCCAATCCCGCTAATCGTAGTAGCGGGGGAAGGACAACAAATTAAACGCAAGAAGCAGTTTTAAATCTGGATTTTAAAGTCCATAGCTCCAGTGGCTTCCTAATTGCAGGTTGTCACTGATACGGGTGACACTTAATGTTGCGCTGGTGTTGATGCAGGTGATTGCCGTGGTTGCGCTGCTCTTGTTGATATTGAGAGGCGTGATGCCCTCAGAGCTTGAAGAATAGCACGTGATTATCTCTCGCCTGTCTTGGTTTCACTCAGGATCATCTACTTTGTGAGTGTTCTGAAATCTGTAAGGCATTAGAAGTCCCAGGTTTTGTCAGATGCGTAATTATGCACCACTAATGTATTTTGCAAGTAGTTCTCCCCCCCCCCTTCAGTTTTTTAATCTAGTTTTCTTCTCGTTATTTTTCCTGGATTCTTTTTGTACCTTAGAGGTGGAAACCTGAGGAGGACCCCTGGGCTCTTGAGGCGAGTGAGCAGAAGGGTTTGTGGTCATAAGATGTTGGTGTGGAACTGCGCTGCTAAGTTGTATCTGCTTCCGCGTGAGGGTCACATTTTCTTTTTATAATCTGCTTTGCATTTTAAAAAAGAGAACTGGTGGTTTCCAGTTGAGCAGCTGAGAGAAGGCTTTAGGGAAACAGCCCTAAAGGCATTCCATTCAAAAAACCAAACGGCACGCAGGCGGTGTATAATTAACATTACATGTGACTCTTCAACGTTACGTTGGGTTAGGACCATTGTTTTAATTACGTGGAGCAGCTAGATATTTCTCACATGACAATACAGCATGTATACAACTGTGCAAAGGTCACGCATGACTAAACTGATGTGCTCCTTCTAAGAGAATGGCGTATGACTTAGTATCTATTAATTCGCCTCCGATGAGTACAGAAATAATGTTTACAAGGTCAGCTGATTTATATGGAATACATTTTTGCAGCATTGAGTGTTTTCGTTATTAGAGTAGCATCAATTCGTTGCATCTTGACAGAGAGAGAGTCCGTGAGCCTATAGTGGTTTCAATTCTGGTTGCAGTGCTTCCATATGCTTTCTGCCGCTATCATTAGTTCTTGTTTTTGTTACAGATAGCCACTTATTTTATGGTCGTTCCGGATTGAGCTTTGTGGCTATTATCAAAATTTCAGGCCACTCGATAGGACGACTTATGTGACTGAGATGGGTGACTCAGCCAAAGCAATACAGTCGTCAAATGAATTTGCAGTT